AAAATGCTTATAAATTATTCTTTAAGTTATAAAGTTTTTAAGTATTTTAATAAACTTAATTTTTATTAAAATAATTTTTTTAATATTTTAAGAAAGCCCTTATATTTAATTAATTAAGGGTTTTCTTTTTATAAAATAATAATTATAATATTTATTATAAAGAAGTTAATTAAATAAAATTTTATTTTAATTTTATAAATAATTAAAAATAAAAAAGTTATAATCTTTAAACTCCTTTATTATTTTTAATAAAGAAAATTAAATACTTTAAGTTTTAATAAAAAGAAATAAAAGTTATAAATAATAAAATTATATTAAAAGCTAAAGTTTTTTAAATTTCTTAAATAATAAGTATTTTTTAAATAGTTATTATTTTTAGCTTTTAAAATTAAAGCTATTAAGTATAAAACTTAAAAAGTTTATATATATTAGCCGCTTTATATAATTTCTTCTCCCGCTATAAAGAATATTTATTATATATAAGCAATACTTTTAAGTTAATATATTGCTTATTAATGCTTTTTTTAATATTAATTCCTTTTTCTTAAAGGAATTTCTTAAAGTTTTAAATAATAATTAATTTCTTAAATATTATTATATTTTAAAAAGTAAAGTTTTTTATAAAGCATTAAAGTAAATTATTATTTATATTTTAATATTTTATTATTTCTTTTATAAACTTAAGAATAATAATATTTACTTAATTAATTATATTATTTATTTTTATTATTAATTTATTTTAAGAATTAAAATTAATTTATTAATTTTAAAACTTTTTATTAAGATTAAAAAATAAGTAATGTTTTTATATAAAAGCATTATTAATATTTAAAGGTATTTTCTTAGCATTATTATTAAATTTAATTATTTTATTAAGCTATTAAAATATTTAAGTAATTTATATATAAAAGAAAAGAAAAAAGGTAATTAAGAAAATATAATAAGGTTGTTTTACAGTATAAAAAGAAAGTATTAATTATGCAATAAAAAAATATTTATTAAAAAATATTTATTAACTTAAATAAATATAAATTATTATTTATATTAAAATAAAGTAATTATAAATACTTTTAATATTAATTGCATAATAAAATATATTATATAATTAATAAATTTAAGGTATTATTAAGGATTTATTAATTAATAAATTAAATTTTTATAATAAGAAGGTTAAGGTATTATTAATTTCTTTTTATTAATTTTAATTATAATATAATTATTTATAGGTAATTATTAATTAATATTAGCTAAGTTAATATATATTAATTAATAATAAATTAGTTATATTTAAATTAGCTATATAAAAGAAAGGAAGGTTGCGGCTATAGGTTGTAAAACCTCCCTTTAGCTATAAACTATCTAGGGGTGGTTATGTGCTGTTGCACATAACCCTTGCCTGCTAGTGCTTTAGTGCCAATTGCCCATAGTGCTTATTGTGCCTAGTGCTGCTGTTCCCCTATAGCACGTCTATAACTACATTAATTTTATAATATTAAATACTTAATTTTTATAAAAGCGCTTTTAATATTATATTTATATAAAAATTTATTTATAAATTAAAATAATAAAATAAAAAAAATTAAAAAAATATTTAAAAAAATTAATAAAATTAATAAAATTAATAAAATTAATAAAATAATAATTAATAAAATTATAAAATAAATATAATAAAATTAATAAAATTAATAAAATTAATAAAATTAATAAAATTAATAAAATTAATAAAATTAATAAAATTAATAAAATTAATAAAATTAATAAAATAATAAAATTAATAAAATTAATAAAATTAATAAAATTAATAAAATTAATAAAATAATAAAATTAATAAAATTAATAAAATTAATAAAATTAATAAAATTAATAAAATTAATAAAATTAATAAAATTAATAAAATTAATAAAATTAATAAAATTAATAAATTAATAAATTATAAAATTAATAAAATTAATAAAATTAATAAAATTAATAAAATTAATAAAATTAATAAAATTAATAAAATTAATAAAATTAATAAAATTAATAAAATTAATAAAATTAATAAAATTAATAAAATTAATAAATTAATAAAATTAATAAAATTAATAAAATTAATAAAATTAATAAAATAATAAAATTAATAAAATTAATAAAATTAATAAAATTAATAAAATTAATAAAATTAATAAAATTAATAAAATTAATAAAATTAATAAAATTAATAAAATTAATAAAATTAATAAAATTAATAAAATTAATAAAATTAATAAAATTAATAAAATTAATAAAATTAATAATATTATAATTATTTAAAATTATATTTATAAATAAAAAATATAATATAAATTTTATAATTATATATATTTTTAAAGAATTAATTATAATTAATAATTATAATAAATTAATAAAAATATAATAAAAATATAATAAAAATATTATTATTTAATTAATTTTAAAATATAGTTTTAAAAAATATAAAATTAATTTATAAATAAAAAAAATTAAAAAAAGGAAATTAAGATTTATTTATTAATAGCTTTTAAAAATACTTTTAAAAATATCTTTAATTTTTAAATAAAAAGTTTTTTTAAATAAACTTTAAATTAAGTTTTTATAATAATTCTTTTATAATTATATTTTAATTTTATTATTTAAGTTTTCTTAAAAATATTTTTAACTTTATATATTATTTTCTTAAAATATATAAAATAATAATAATAATAATAATAATTAATAAATTTAAAAATATATTTTTTTTATTAATTAAAGTTTAATAAAAATACTTATATATTTTTATTTATTAAATAATTTAAATTAATATATAATTATTTTTAATTAATATATTTTAATTTTTGTTTATAAATTTATTAATAAATAATTTAATTTTAATAATTAAATTTTTTAATATATTTTAAATATTTTTTTTATAAATAAAGTTTAAATATTATATATATTTTTATTATTAAAAATTAAAATAATATATTTTTAATTATTTATAATTATATATTTAATTTCTTAATTATTTTTAATTTTAATATAATAAATATTATAATATCTTTAAATATTAATATAAATTTATTATAATATTAAAAATATTATTAAATTTTTAAATAAGGTTTTTTAAAAAATAAATTAATTTTTTTAATATATTTTATTTAATAAATTCTTTAATTTTAAATAAAATATAAATATAAGCTTATAAATATAAATTTATAAAGTTTTAATATTATTATTATAATTTAATATTTAATTTCTTAATTTTTTTAAAATATTTATTAAATTTAATTTAAAAAGTATAAAATTATTTTTAATATTTTATTTTATTTATTAAATAAAAAATTATTTTATATTTATTATTTTAATTAAATATAAAGAAAGAATTAAATTAAATATTATTTTTATATTTATCTTTAAATATTTTATTTTTTATTAAATTTAATTATTTTATTAAAAGTTAAGATAATTTATTATTAAAAATATTAATTATATTTCTTTTTTTTATTTATTAAGAAATAAAAGAAAAATTAAAGTAAGTATTATTTTATTTTTTAAAAGCTTTATTTTATTTAAATATTTTTTTTAATATTATATAAATTAAAAATTTAATTTTAAAATTTTATTTAATTATTTAATAAAATTTATATTTTATATATTAATGTTTATAAATTTTTAATATTTTTTAATTTAATAATAAAATTATAATATAATAAATTAAATAAAAAATATTTAAATAAATTACTTAATTAATAAGGTTTAAAAAAATATTTATAATTATTATATAAATATATATTTAAAAATTAATAAGAAATAAATAATATAAAATAAATATTATTAAAATATGTTTTATATTATTTATTTATAATTTATAAAAAAAGATTTTATATAAATTAAGTTTATAATTATAAAGGTTATAAATATTATAAAGATTTAAAAATATAATTATAAAAAGTGGGCACTACAATTCCTGAAGCTACCTTGGCAAAAGAATCAAGTGGATTACGAGGCCAACACAGGCCGAGTTGTTACTTCGTACATTCTACGGATAATAGTGGCCCGGATCAGTTGCGAACATTGTGACTGGCCGCGTCTTCCCAAGCAGCTACCGCCGTGTCCGGTAAATCTCTGTGCGTAGGCATTGCTATTCTCACCTTTGGTGATGAGACTGTGGCGTTCGTGAGTGTCGGGCACGGCCAGAATTGCACCGTAGTCGAACCAGACTAAAGGTGTTCGATGATTGCTCGATTAGAAAAGATCGACTTGTCCCCGACTCAGCTGGACTTTGTACAATAGTTGACCAAATACGGGCGGCATTGACCTGTCACCTTTTCATGCGCTCGTCATAGTGTCTCATACTGCCCGCTTTGGCATGTGACAAGTCGCCGGTGCCCAGCCTCTTCTGGATTCTGACGCCGAGGATTCCGATGAGAGGTAGGACTTGCAACAAAGGCACACAAATATGCCATATCAAACAGAAGTATTAACTTGGGTACTACACCAGTCTAGATGTAAAATCTTGGCTGCTCACTCCAAGCCGCGTAGCTTCCATCCTGCGCAAAAAAAAACACCTGCTTCCCATGGCGTTCCCCCTCATAAGGCCCCAGTTTACCAACCCTCGTATTGCACCGCTCGAGACCTCAAGACTCGTATCCTAGCTACGCTCCTACCTGAATTGCCGTCTGGTAACCCCATTCACGCTTCAGAAACACCACTGCTGAGTCAGAGCTGATGACCCAATGCTCACTGCAGACAAGGCGCGGCCTGCAGCCAAGTGTTGCATGTCGATCATCCAAAGGGCGTACAGACAGGCACAGGCGGCTTATTTATTGACGTTTTGCTCTGAAACCCCAGATTGAAAGCCTTCCGAACCATTTGCTCCACACGGGAAGCTTTTACTACATTTCGCCCTGTTCCTGAGTTTCAAGAACTTGACTGTTCATTCCAGGCATTCATCTTACACAGGACCAGTGCTAGTACATGCAAACAACGCACACGGGGCACAGGCATAGGTATATCCACCAATAATGGCCAGCATCACCGAGCACGATGTCTCCTATGCAGACGGGGCAAAGAAGATCCACTACCTCGCCGCCGGCCCATCGTGCGGCCCTTTGATCATCTTTCTCCACGGCTGGCCGGCCATCGCCCTGACATGGAAACACCAGCTGCTGGCCTTTGCCTCGTTGGGCTTCCGTGCGATCGCGCCAGACATGCCCGGTTGGGGCAAATCCAGCGCCCGCCGCGTCACAACCGACTACACCCAGGAGGCCCTCGTGGAGGGCATGCTGGCCCTGCTCTCCGCCACCGGACGTTCCGAAGCCGTCTGGGTAGCACATGACTGGGGCGCTGGAGTGGCATCCTCGCTGTCGGCGCACCATCCCGCCGCCGTCCAGGCGCTCGTACTCCTCTGCGTGCCGTACAAGTCACTCGAGCTGGGCCTGGACCACCTGGTCTCGTTCGTCGACCGCACCATCTACCCGGCGGATGAGTACCCCTATGGCCAGTGGGACTACATGGCCTACTATGAAGAGGCATTCGAAGAGTGCGTAAAGCAGCTCGAGGCCAACGTACCCGCCTTCTGCAAGTCCGTCTGGCCGCGCCCGCCGGAGCCCGACGGGTACGACGCCGCCGACGCGTTCAAGCCGGCCTTCTCAGCCAGCATCCGCAAGAACCGTGGGCGATTCGGCGGAAAACCTGCACCACCGGCTGACGGGCTCCGAGCACCGCTGATGGAGGGCGAGGTGTTTGACGCCTTTGTGAAGGCGACGGAGGAGACAGGACTATGGGGAGGATGTGCGTACTACTCAAACCACAAGGTAAACGCGGCGTACAACGGCCAGGCGCCGGACGGGGGACGGCTGGGCAAGGACAAGCCAGTGCTGTTCGTCCACGCCAAGTTCGACTTCGTGTGCGCCACGCTCACAACCCGGCTGGCGGACCCGATGCGTGAGGCCTGTGAGAACCTGACCGAGGTCACGATCGAGGCGGGACATAACGTGCACTTTGAGAAGCCCGAGGAGGTCAACGCCGTGGTGGCGAGGTTCCTTGTAGAGGAAGCCAAGGGGATCTGGCCTGGGTATGCGGACTTGGGATATCGCAAGGTGAATGCTTAAAGAGGCCCAATGAACTTGATACGTTCCTTCAACTAGTCATTTGCAATGTGGGACTTCTTGACCACAAATTGCAATACTATTCAGCGTACTGCCATGGGGCTATGGTTATTTAATTCGTTTCATCGTCGCTACCCATTATGTCCTGATATTTCTCCACGGGGTCAGAGCTGCAGACATGAAGCTGGGATACTTCAAATGTTGGTCCAGATCCATTGTAACACAAGAATTCGGCATGAAAAGAACACCTGAGCTAGGTGGGTATTTATAATGAGGAGAGTAGCGTACGGATGCGATGGCCAACTGGAGTTGTTAACGCCGCGAATATGTGTATATGCTATGGCTGGCCCGAAGCCATGAGGATGGGAAAAGTCTCCGAGTCGATGTTTTCATATGAAGCAGACTTTGCTGCTCTCCTTGAGAAATCCAACACAGCAAAGCTCATATGACTCCTGGATGACAATCGGATGACAATATCCGATCTTTTCGAGTATAAGCCATATTAGTGCATAACGTAATTGAATTATGAAATTCAGATTGTATGTGTTCAAACATATCGTAGCAATCTGTGTGTCGTCAATGTTTCAATGAATCTCGGCGGACGATCGGATCCGTGTTATAGGTTGTCTTTTCTTGGCCTTTGAACTGTTCACATTTCTCTGCAATCAGCTCAATGCGAGCTTTGCACCATCGCCACTATTGAGGTATTTCTCTAGGAGGTGAGCCTTAGAGTGAGGTATCGTTCGCGTGGTTGAGTCAGCTAATCCCCGATTCCGTTTGAAGGCAGTTCTGTTTGTTTGGCAGGATATACAATCTTGTCAGTCAGACTGACTCTTACAGCTCTGAGGAAAATTTTCCAGATACAATCAATTGGATTCGAAGACTTCTTAGAACACGTCTTGGGCCACGCCAGAAAAATGTAAGCGTGTGGCGTTGTGGGCTTTTAGAGTTCAATATGATGAAAAGACTCGACTAGTCGCTTGATCCAATGACGTTTTGGGTGGCACTGAGAGTGGCAAGTGTCGTCACAACACCGCCAGGGATAAAGGCTCGGATAAGCTCTACAGTGATTGCTGGATTATTGTCGTCGTAGGATAGATGTCTCTTACTGCATTGCCAATGGCGACCAAGCTGTTGAGCTCTTGCGCAAGGGAAATTATACTTTGAGGGTAATGATAGTAGTCGACTAGGTATTGCTTGCAGTATTCTCTTGCAACCATTGGGACACTGGCACCGCCAGCAAGCTGAAACGGATCATCTCGTCAAGCATGCGGAGCAGTACAGTACCTACCTTGGTGTTCCAAGGTTCCCACGAGAAATCCGTTTTTAGGCAACATCGGTCCCTTCCCGCCGAATTTTCAGAATCGTCAAGAGGGGATTCTTGAGGCGTCCTACAAGAAGCACGAAAGAAGCCCTTGATAGTGGCATTGTCACACCGATAACATCATTTTTGTACAGGGCAGGTCATGACCTGTCTACATCGTTGGGAGTTTACTGGGCGATGACAAAGCCCGAAGTGAACCCAAGGGCCCGAGAAGGCCTACACCACGTTCAATAACTTCACACCCGCCAAGTCATATAATGTTCACCAACCAAGTCTGAAAGCCTCGATTTGACCAGGGTTCAAGCCTGCAAGAATTCCCCAACTTCCAGCAGTCTTGTGTTTACATATTGCACATTAAGCACAAGGTGTCAATTTAGCATCTCAGCCAATGACAGAAGGATGATCAGTAGCGTCCTATAGGCACACCAGGAAGCCAAACCAGAAGGGCGTGTAGCTCTGGTTCTACTTTCTACAACAAGCATGCAACCACCAGTCTCCTTTAACGGGAAGACAACCCGATTTAATCAGGCAACTTCTTAGACATGGGCCAGACTATGGCTCAGACTCCCGTCACAATGGTGACGGGGCGTGTGCTTAATGCCTCTCGTCATGTGCCTGCAAAGATCCAAGACAAGGTGCCGCGGGCATGACCTGGCGTAGCGTACAAGGCAAGCATGCCGTTCCAAGGTTCCCAAGCGCGAGGACATGCCCGCCTGCCACTTGCATGCACCAGGGAGCAACACCTCAAGGGGCCACTGCAGAGCACGCAAATGCCCCAAGTAACTCTTTGGGCCTGACCTGACCGGTCCGTCCATGGGCATGTCCACGACCCGACCCGCTCCAAAGTCACAAGATACTGTCTTGACTTGCCCGCGGTCAAGCCAAGACGGGGGCTCCTCCGAGCCTGCTCCCTGCCGCCAGCCAAACGGAACCCGCCAGCAAAGACGATGGGCACCGGCCGATGCAGCCGTGCCCAGCCGATATCCACTCCCGTGCAGCCCGCCCTTTCTCCCCCGGCGAGGCTCGCCAGTCTCTCGACGGCTTCCCGAGACCTGTGCCGCTGCCCAAAGTGGACGGCGGGGATGGGGGAATTTTGACTCGCTGTTCTAGAAAGGCCCGGTCGGTTCCTGTGCCTGGCTGACCTGGCGCCGCCAATGTGCGCGCCCCCTGAGCTCGCCCATTTTTAATTGCTCTCAGACACTGTGTGCGCCGCCGTCGCACAGATCGAGATAGGGTTGCGCCTTTGTTGCCAGAGGTTCTAGATCGCGTCGCACCCGTGCCCAACGACGGCCGACATCCAACGAAAGCCCGTCTGCCCTCGCAGGCGCCGCACCCAAAAATCTGCTAGGGCCGATCATTGTCTTGCCTGCCGTGCGAGGCTGGACTGAGACTCCTAGGCACGGTACGTAAACGAGACCGGGGCGGCGCCCTAGGGGCCGGGGGATGGATCTGTGAGCAACAGCCCTGCTGCGCGCAACGGCGTGCATCTATTGGAAGTGAGAAGGCGGGCGAGACTGCACAGCGGCGCCAGCGATGCACAGACAACACACACACATACGCACACGGAGAGGCTTTGTTGTTACGGGTGGGGAATGGAAAATGGCCCCCATGGCCCCCCGTGAGCAAGAAAGCAAGAAACCCGGCAAGCGGAAAGGAGAGGCTTTGAAGCTGCAAGGGGTGAACGAACCATCGGGAGCACCGAAGAGGCGGCGTTCATCAGCGCCCCCATCGAGGAGGATAGGCGAGCGCTCGCCTGTTCCCGCGGCGGACCACCACACCGCATCTGCCCTTGCCCATCGCGGGCCGGCGGACAGCAGAGGACATGTCTGAACTCGCTCTGAACACATGGTGGCTGACAGCACGTTTCCGCACGCAAGGGTGGAGGATGACAAGTGGGCTTCCCCCCCTCCCCCCCTTCAAGCAGGAACCGAACCGTGGGCGCTGACCTCACTCAATCAATCTCAAGCCCCCGGTCTTGGGTTTCGTGCTCCGTCAGCGAGACACATGGGGGGAGACAGGGCGGCCGCCATCCTGTGTCTGTGTGTCTCTGTGTCTCTTTGTCTCCTGAATTTGAGACCCAGCCACGTCAACTGGCAAAAAATCTGCCGACTTGACAGGTACCCACAACGCCCAGGGGGGAAACATGGGGAAGGTGGCCTTCGGCGCGCACACCCGCGGTGGAGCGGGACGAGAGGAAAGAGGACCCACGGCCCAGCGCGCGGCGAGAGAGGGAGAGCGTTCCCTTGGCTCCCAAGGACCTCCCGGTCGGGGAGAAAACAAAAATAGTGGGAAACTGGGCTGACATACCGGGAGCGGTCCCCACGGTACGGGGGCGACGCTGGAGCCCGGCGATGTGCCCCCCGATTGCGAGCCAGGGGGGGAGGGGTGCGGGTGGGTTTTTGGTGCGAGACGGGCGCTGACCCACCCCGTCGCAGGAGGACTGACGACCCAGAAGAGCCAGAGTCGTCAAGCGAGACCTCTTTTTCTCCTCTTCCAAGGGATGTGGGAAGCAAGATTTCAGCCCGGGTGGATCTGGTTCCTGCGCATTTGCGTGCACCGGAAACGGGGCCGGACGCCTGATGAATCGTGCCTGTCAAAGCTTCATTGTGGGTCTGGGTCTGGGTCTGTCGGGTTCGTTAAACTATGGGCAGTGCATGGTGCAATACAGTACAGTGTTTGCCGCCCACGGTGGAAGTGGAAAAAAAAAAAAAAAAAAAAAATTTAAAAATTGGGTGGTTGAAACACGTCTTATTGCCGTGGGTTGTTTATTACTGTGGGCGTCGGTTTAGCAGCCGTGATGCATCCCCGATCTCGATTTTACAGACCCTGGCCTCACGCATCAGGAACATGGATCTTGTGTGTTCGTTCGTAGAGCAGTGAAGTGTCAGGCTCAGAGGCCCAGACAAGCGAGCATTCGGTGTCATCAGAACGTCAAAGAGCTTTCCACGTTATGTAATTGGATTTTTTCCTCACTCTGCTTGCAGGCACGGCCAGATCCCCTTGCACGATAGCAGATATTAATATCTTGGAAGGATTCTTGCCGAACCCAGATGATGGAGGGCCCCTAACAGGACGGATGGTACGTACACCCCAGGCTTGGGTTTCTGATACACCGACAATGCTGATGGAGACTTTGGCTCAACACAAGGGCCGTGGACCGGTGCGATCCCAGCCCTGTCAGGCTCTTCTTTGCCTTTCGCTGAAGAACTTCATCCACCGGCGTCCAGACCGAGACTCCAGGTCCTGTGGATACCCACACTCTACTCCCGGAGCTCGTGTGGGTTCGACACATGGTTCTGCAGGTGCGAGAACGATGCTCGGGCTGTCGGGTTGTCGCTCGCCCTCCACTCCAATTCACACGTCAAACATAGCTTTGGGTCCAGCCGTCAGGAGTCGCGAACCTCCTTTGTAGCCAGCAAGCTCGCTTTGCCTCTCTCGTGCAGGCCCTGGAGTCGTCTGCCCCTGGTTTGTCGTCCGGTCTAACGCGGGACTATTGTTAGGTGGTGTCCGTGATGACTGGCTGGCCCTGCAGACGGCGACCGGCCAGCCGAGAGCCCGAGGTCTGGACCCAACGCCAGCGAGAAGATGGTGTCGAGGGCCGATCCCACCCCGTTGTTACCAGACGCAACAGATCCCCTCCTCCACCCCTCGCTCTCGGACTACAGGTCTGTGACTAACACGTCGTGCCATGACGGCGTCGATGTTTCCGCTAGGGAGTGACTCGTCCCAGAGGCCAACGCAGGGCCCGGGTGAGGGGATGAGCCTTGCAGGCGGCCCCGACCTGACCCAAGCCACGGATTTTATTGGGACGGGATCGACCATGTCGACGGGAGTGGGCACCACTGCGCAGCTTGCAGGTGTGAAACGGGAGAGTCTGTTGAGGGTAGCTCGACAGTCCAGACTGTCTGTCCGGTGAATAAGCTCTCGGCAGAGCTGGGAGCTTGCCTCTGGGGGAGGGATGGCTACAGTATTTTCGCTTTCTGCTCACCCTGTGTGACGCCCAGGAGGGCTGAGAGGAGCAAGAACTGGGAGACCGGCGCACGGCCAGGGACTCAGCCAGAAGCAGATCAGACTCCAACCCGACAAGGAGGATCGCGACAGAGCGCGATCGGCCGGCGGCAATCATGTGACTGGCTATAGGTAGAGATATAGCAAGATGCTGGCGGGCGAGGGGCAACAATGACTGGGCCTTGGTCCTTTCTTGCAACTTCCAACGAGCTGTCCGAGGGCCATGCGATGGAACCAAACCTTGCTCGGGCTGGGCCAGCGCACACAGTACGGTGCTGTTCCTGGTCCAGCTTGTGTCTCAGACCCCAAATGGCGCAATGCATCACCGGGCCAGTGAGGCTCGCAGCCAGTACGTAATGATGCACGGTGGGAGAAAAAAGCTGGAAGTTCGGAGGGGAAGCTGCTGCAAAGTGCTGCACATTGGCCATGTCCTGTTTGTTCCAAGGTTGAGCTCGGAGGCTGAGCATCCTGCGCTCACGTAACAAGTACCTTTATGGCTTGTCCCGCTGCAAGGATGTACTTCCCTTTGTGTACATGCGTGCTGTCCACTGTCGAGAACCTTCGGCTGCTGTCCTTGCTAGCCGAACTAGCTCAGCACCTGTGTTGAGACAGCAAGCCGATGCTGGGCTGCATGTTCGCATCCGGTGAGCAAGCGAGCCTTTGTGCGAGCATTGAGCTGTTGAATCAAGACGGAAGTCAAATTCAAGCCTGTGCTGGTCCCACATAGACAGGGCTCACAGCCTGTTTGTGTGACGAGGCTGCGAGAATGCAAGGGCAGGGGGAAACAAGAAAAAGAAAGTGAGCCTGAGCCAGTTACCGAGTGAAAAAAATGATGTGTAATAAGCTTGTCCAGACGGGATCTGTACCCGGGGAAAAGCAGAGACAGAGCAAAAGGAAAACACCTGGGTCGATGAACCACTTCATCGCACGTGGGGACAGCCGGCAGTGGTCCTATCCGTAACATGGACGGTGCATGCTGTACGGTGTAGACGGCGGGATGAACGAGACTGCAAGAGGGGATCAGGGTGCGTGAACGGAACTGGAGTCACAATTGGGACGCATTGGCATGTACTAAGCGGTGGGTAGCTGAAACTGATCTTATTGTAAGACAGTAGCTATGTTGCTGACCGTTCTTTCACTCTCGAGTGTCCAGTCATTTCATCCCCAGTCAGCCCTGCGGACCAACTATTGGTATCCCCCATATGCCCCCGCGAAGTTCCTCTCTCGTGGGGGACCCTTCCATGTTCCAGCGCCAGTCCCTCAGCCGCCGGTGCAAATGATCCATTGCAACAACCTCGGGATGTTCCTCTCCCATCGGTTGCTCAAGAGAAATCCAAGGGTTTGCCTTGGTACAACAACAGAGTCATATCGCTCGCATCCCTGTGAAGACGCCAATGTCCTGCCGGACCAGACAAATAAAAGTAGTAAAGAACCATCCCAATTCCCGTGTAAACCCATAACTTTTGTAGTAATGCTGTGCTCCGGTTGATGCTTTTGTGGTACATAAATGACAGAAAGGCCAGGGGGCTCGCCGATGATCGGAGGGCGACAAAAATGACGAGATCACGCTCGACCGCCAGATGTCATTGATGAAGTGGTGATGGGTATTCCCGAGAAATTCCAAGGTCCGAAAATGTTTAAGTGGGGTATCTAGGAAACGAAGTGGTGCCAAGGAATGGCATCATCCACAGTGCAATCCACCGAAGACTCATCGAATGTTCAGTGAGACTGCCTCCGTGAAGATCGGGCGTTCTCGAACGAGCTCGCGTAGGCGAGCAGCTCTTTCCTGGCCGCGTCAGATAGTTGCATCGCGGCTTCCGTGCTGGCAGAGGAGGTGCTCTTCATCGAACACAGGCTGGCGTGGGAGCTCGATGGTGAGAGGACCCGCTGCGGCAAGGCGAGCGAGGAACGACGCTGTGACGATTGCGCGGCTGAATGGCTGAAGTCACAGGCTGGTGACAGGTAGAGCTTGTTCAACCCCGTTGCGGGTTTCGAATATCCCCATGGGTAGCTAGGACCGCTGAAGGCAGGGGAGCTTGGGCCGGTGCTGGGGGTCGATGACTGTTCGTACTCTGCCAGTCGGCAGGACTCGGAGCAGTATGTGGTGCTGTCTGTCTGCTTGTCGCAGGTGAGGCAGTAAGAGTGTGTCCAGTCGGAAGACATTGTGAAGGGTGGTTGTTGTTGGTTGGTGTAGAAGTGCTTCACGCAAAGAGCAGGCGAGGATTATTCAACTGATGAAGAGACCACGGGGATCTCGTGCGGTTGGTGTGCTTCGTGGGATAGTTGAGGCTGCTCGAGCGAGTTTGATTTGCTGTGCTTCCTTTTCCAAGTTGACCTGGTTCTTCACACGCAAGTTCTCACGGCGACGGTCTTCAAGCGTTGGTGTTGGAAGGCGACGGTGACGAGTCCGGCGAGCGAGTGCGAGATACAGCGAGCTGCGTGTAGACTGGTTGAGTTGATGGTGATCTGGTAGAAGCCAAGGTGTTGTAGAAGGAGTCGGGACCAGAGTCGGGTATGTCAAGAAGAAACGAAAACCAAGTTGAAGTGAAGTTGTGGTTGAGTGGATTGTGTACTTGATAGATGAAGCTTGGGAGGGGAGGAGCAGCTTTTCTACTCTCGACCAAGACACAGGCAAAACGACAGGAGCCCTGCGCGGCCTTGGGACTTCCCCAAGGCATCACAGCCGGGGAGGCCTTGTCACGCATGAGCGACCATCCCACATCGGACCTAGCGCTAGCGCAGCCTGGCATCCTGGCCAGGGTGCAAGGGTGGCAGGGTACGTGTGTACATGCAAGGCGTGCTGCACTGTGGTGGTGATGGCCGTGGAGTGGTGTGGCGTGGTGTGTTGCGGGTGGGCAGAGGGCGTGTGATGCGTAGAGCATAGACCAAAACAGACAGGGTGCCCGGGTGTCTCTGAAAAAGTTTTCAAGGCAGCCTAGACACCACCCGCTGGGCAGCACTGGGGGAGTGCAGGAGGACAGGTTGGCTGTGGTGCTGGGGAGGGCGTGGGGCTAGGAGCAGAGGTGCCCACCACCACGCAAGCCCACGGCCCCCTGGTGCATCAAAATGCAGCAAGCAGCAAGCATACGCAGTGCATGCCGTACCGTAGATACACACCTGCCGTTGTCGTGCTCATCATCAAGGTGCCGTGCAACGAGAACGAGGCAGTGAGGCGCGGGGCGTGGCCACAGCAAAGTGGAGTTGGCCGTGGGTGCAGCTTGCTCATCTGTTGCTGTTGATGTTGCCGGTTGCTGGCCCCGGTCCTGGTCCTGGTCTGCTGCATTGCGGGAGGTGGACCCATCCGCACGCAACTGGGCAGTAACATTGGGACACAGCACCCCGTGGACGAACAGACAGCCGTGAGGACCAAGGTGAAGGTCGACCGACCTGGACAGGCTGGACAGGCTGGATGGTGCCGTCAGGACCGTCCGGTCCAGTCCAGTCCAGCGATGGGCGGGTGGATTTTGCCGGCTGGCTGGTCTGATCAACTAAACTTTGCCGCTCACGCAACCGATGTGTGAGGGAGTAACTCTCGTTGCTCCGGTCGGGGCCTGGCCTGGCCTCTCTTGGCCCTTGATGTCCTGGTTGCACAGTTGCACAGTTGCACAGTTGCACAGGAGCACGGAATCAGGCACTCTGGCTTGCAGCAGCATGCTGCGGCCTGGGCGTTGAGTTTTCGATGCAAAAGTAAAAGATAGTACGGGTTGGGGAATAAGCTCTCGCCAATTGTCTGCCGGCTCTGTCGCCCTCTCTCCCTCTCTCGACTCATCAACCTCGGTGCTCCAGCATTCTCGCAGACTCAGGGTCTTGGATTTGCAGATGTGATGGATGGGTGGGTGTCTGGGTGTCTGGCGAACCGTCTCGCATGAGCACATTGGATTCACAGTGCAAGACACGATCATCCCTCGCTCACCTGGACCTCTGGCCATCTTGTCTACCACGCGGTAGTCGTGGATGTAGTTATCTTTCCAGGGTCCGCTAATAGATAAGATGTTGCGATCTGCAAGCACCGTCGCCTGCTTGTGGAGGGTTGAGACGGATGGGCAAAGGCCTAATCTTCACGGCTCGCTGAACGGGGACGTGGGGGTCGCGATGCACTTCCGTCTTCAGTAGGAAGCCCCCGGGCCAGCGTTACTTTGGGAGTGGGCTCCGTCGCCCTCAACGCAAATCCCGTCCCCCCTATCTTTGCAAGGTTGAGATGATCTCGAGAAGCTTCACAGCACGAGCTCGACCCGCGGGTTCGGTAATAGCGCTCGTGCAATCCGTCGCTCGAATCAGGACGAGATAGTGAAATTGTGCACCACAAGGGAAGGATGGCGAGGCCAAGCCGTAAGCGCCGTCGACAGCGCCAGGTCCAGGCCAGCAGGAAGAGCTCAAAGGTCAAGCGCGAGAGGGCAGGAACGGGCCTGGAGCTGCACCTGCATTTGCTGAGGGCCGTACTTGGTAGGCGCTGGTGATTGATTGATTGACTGCAGTCCCCAGGGCCGGCAAGCAAGTGCATAGCATTGTAAACACGGCACTGGGAATGCCTGCACGGCGACAGGCGCTCCAGCAAGCCGCCGTCCAGTCAGCCAGTCCAAGCATCATGCAATTTTCGCAGTCCTGCCGTGTAGCATTCCAGTGACGCGACCTCTCCCTCTTGGCTGCATGTGCTCTTTCATCATGGCCACGACCTCACATTTATCCCCGCGCCGTCGGCGGCAGCCACGCTGCACAGTGGCCATGTTGACACATCGCCGCCGCTGGCTATCAAACCTAATCGTTTTGCATTTCGCCTCCACGATGGCCCTCGTCTCAGAGCAGTGCAACCTGGCGTCCATTTCCGTCGTTCACGCTCTGGGATCGGCGCCGGCGAGCCCATGCCTCTCTTGCTCTTGTGTCTGGTGTGTCTCCCTCCCTCCCTCAACGCCCGGTGCAACCTGGTGCATCTAAGAGCGGAGCTACTGTGTGCTGCATAACCATGGTGGCTGCGCTCTCGCGATGCCCACCCCCCCTCCATCACACCACCAGACCAGACCAGCCATCAAGGCACATGCAGGACAAGCCACGGAGCTGCAGGCGGCATGGATCGTGGAGATCTTGCGCAGCTGACCGATGACCAGTCCGGAGACGAGCACTAAACACTGCCTGCCGCCCACGCCCATCCCCTCTTTTCGCTGCCAAGCACACGAAACCATCGCCATCAACGTGGGCATTTCCCTAGGCGCTATGCCTTGACTGGTCACGTATGCATGAGCCCTTGCGAGCCTGCAGCGACCTTGGTTACAAAGTGGCTTGGGGTTTGGGATCCTGCATGACGGCAACAAATGCTCCAGAGCGTCTTCCCCAAAAAAGACCTTGGTTATCAAACCAGCCTGGCCAACTAATCATCTTGGACCATCGCCGACCCGTTTCGTCCAGCTCCTGGGCCGGGGCCACTATCGCCTGTCCGTGGCTTGACGTTGGCCTCCAAGGTGCACGCAAGCCTGGGTGTGTTCTCATACTTTATCTAGGAAAATTACTTGACCGTATGAGCGTCAATGATTGGTCCAACTAGAGCCGCCGGCCTCACAAATGTTATGCTGTAGGTAGTTCAAGCATCTCACCCACAACTCGACCACGGCCTTGCGATGCTCGGCACGCAAGCTGCTTCAAACTCAGCATGGGGTTGCGCCCAGTGATAAGGTCTCTACCCTGGCAGGTTGTCCGCATGGCTAAGGAGAGCAGTCGCAATATTGTAAGTGATTGTTGTTATTGAAGGCCCGGCCAATTGCTCGGCGAGGCTGAATGGCGTTTGTGCCTCTCGCGCCTATCGTTACCACAATGACGAGATCATACGCCACGAGGCTGCAATATCATCCATCACTTCTACAGAACTACCAACTAGACTACTCAGTTCAGGGCCAAGTTAAGCAGCAACTGAATCGACGCCCGCGCTAGACGTGGCCAATCGTTCGTCCCTACAACCTCGACGACTCTTTCACGCATGATGCACTGCGAGAACGACCTGGTCAGAAGGGTGTGGACTGCACACACCATCCGCCCACACGAAGACGTCAAGGGTTCCACCTCCACATTTTTCTCGGGATGAGGTGCGGAGATTAGTGGATCTCCCGCCGAGTGCTCCATCACGAAACCACCTCAGCGGGCCTATTGAACGACGACATCATCACCGGACTAGCCAAGCGATTCGTGCACGACGGGTGGGGTGTGACCTCGACCACCTCCAATTGGTCGGCCGGCCTCTTTCGCTCTCTGCAGCTCGGGTTGGCTATCTCGGCTCCAGGAACCAGGGTTTACAATGTGCTGCAGACTTGAGGTTTCAAGCTGGAACTCGCGTCGCTTTGGGGCCACCATCCTTTCATTGCCATTCCTATCCCCCTCCCACTGGCATACCACATCGTGATTTGAACTCCGGCACATGACGGGTTAGAGGGTGCCTTCCCGTGCCCCACGATTGGCAGCCTGGTCAGTTGCCAAGGTCGGCGATACTGCCGCAATCTAGTGCTCTATCAATGGCTGTACCTCTTCTCTCGCGCTCCTCTCCCCAATAATCTGCAGTAGTCTATCTAACAATGGCACTGTAGCTGTGTCTGTGGGACATACAGCCGCCCACACCTAGATACTGTCAGGCTGCCAGGAGGGGGTAAGCCGGACTGCCCACATACGTACTACACTGACGACGGGGGGGCACTACTACTGCGTCATATCATGCACGATGCTGAAATGTCAGGCACGGTACTGGACAGCAGAGGTAATCATAACACATTGCTGCAAGAGTGCCGCGAACATCCACGGCCTCTGCACACCCATATCCACCCTCAGGTACCGAGGAATGAACGCTTGGCCTCACACCCCCACGGGAGTGGGTGGGTCGGATGTTTCGCACACAAGAAATGGGTCTCTCGACTGCTTCATGGCATCATCTGGCCAAGCCCCCGTTTCAACCCCGCCATGGCAGGCGTCGTGAGCATGTATCACATCGTCACAATCGCATTCGAGTATCGTGACTTGCATTCAGCTCAGTGCGGTTTGGCAGCCTTGCGGGGAAAAGAGGCAACGCAGTACGCTATGCCTCACATTGCTCTACTATGTACTACTACCGGACATCCACGCCGGACGGATTTTGTACGCCGAACTAATAAAGCAAGCACGTGTGAGGCCAAGGGCTGCAGATTTGCCTTCTCAGGTAAGGCATTCCCCGCTTCTAGCATCCGACGAGGTTGCGAGTACGACGTGATCGTGATTCGCCATCCAGAAGTCTGCTCCGCACGAACCTTTGCCTCCCGGCACAAGGTGACAGCCCACGCTTTTCTCCTCTTGGGATGCCGACGGCACACAGGGCAGGGCAGAGTTAACTGCAACTGCTGCTGCAGCAACCCACACTGCCACAAGGTGCCTATCACAATCCTCTCGCTGAACCCGGGTCCGATGAGCGGTAGTTCGCCGGCCGAAGCGGACCATCCGACTCGGAGAATTTCCATCGTGTATATTCGGCAGGCTGACAGGCGACCCGAGATTCAAAGCTCAGAACGGGGCGCGCACCGGACTCAGGACTGTTGTTATTATTCCCGCCTGTCACCCTGCCCGTCACATCTCGTGACCGCGTGAAATGGGATGACATACACAGCAGTATCGACTCACAGCATGCCAATTTGTTATTCACGTCGGTGGAGCAGCAGGAAATGGCCCTGCCTATGCGCACATAGACCCCCGGTGTCCTTGTGCAAGCCCATTTTGCCCAGCCCATGAGTCCCAATCACGGATAATGAGAGTCATCTCTATCGGGCTGGCTGGGCTTGCCAGGGAGAGACGTCGAAATCTTCACGGCTAACCACCGAAAAGAATCAATTTGCCACCTCTGACCGGGAAGCCTGAGATGATGGACGTTCTGGCCTGCCTCCTGCCCCTTGCAGTCGTCTGCAGGCATTCCTATTCCCCGGACCAGATTCACCAGCTGCTTGGTTCTGATGGGCGCGTTGTTTCCGTTTGAGCATGCCTTACCGGGGAATTCTCACTCATATGTGGTGCTACAAAACACGGAAAGGCCCGCCTCGTACATGGCGCTCGGTGTGTTTCTGACCTGACTTGCATGCAAGCCTCGACTGGCCCTACATTCTGGAGCTCGGCCCCGCCTAACCTGCTTGTCGGCCGCCAGCCCATCCTGATGATGACAAGACGCCGGCCCCTTGGCTGACTGCGACAAAAGCCGAGCAGAAGACTTTTCACGAAGCTGCATTTTATCAATTTGTGGTGGGAAGTGAGTCAGCGGACAAGGGCAAAGGGAGCGGAGCACTACCCGCGTAAATCAGCTTTATTTTTGGCAAGGCTAGATGACGTTGATCCAGGCGATCCATCTCGGCAGGGCCCTGTCAACCGAGATTTGGTGGGAAGATGGCCTAGAAGAAAACAGGAAGTGATCAGATGGATGGATTTCGATCGATGCGCTCTCCTGCGAGTGCTTCCAGCGCTGCATACCACGTGCAGCTGCTGTCAACAGTGAAGGCAGCCACAGTGGCCTCCCAATGGCAATATTCATATCCAGCTCCCCAGTCTCCTACGGACGCACCCACGCCTCATCCACAGCGACCGACATCATTAACTTAGTTGATGAGTACGACTTCGGGCTCCGACTTTCGGGTCGACGATGAAGCGTCTTCTGCAGAGAAATAAAAACAGGCTCACAAAAGCGTCGTTCCAGGCCGCCGGCGACATTTGAGTACACCAACGGAGTCAAACTCTTCATCGAGGGGGAGTCCTTGAAGAAAATAGCGGAAGCCATGTCGCCAGCAGGGATCCGGCCGGGGTATAAGAGGGACTGATTGGTTCTTGCGCTAGGTTCCGTCCTGTCAAAACTCCTAAGCGCGGGCGGGCGGATGATCAACGCCATTTCGGACAGATTATTGATCGCCCACTGCTCCAGAGGACGGATATTAGGTCCTTTCCGAGCTCGACGACGGCGCCGGCGCGGTATGCTGGCCCTGCGAAATCTGCGAAATCCGCGAGGACCTGCCTGACTCATCATTACTGGCCGGCCACCAGGATAGAAGCGACATGGCTTTACAATTCTCATTCACCCAGCTATGGCCACTATCGTCGACGACGTGACTCGGGCTCTCGCAGATTTCGTCATCGTGTTCGTTCAGTACTGTGGATGCTCAGAGACAGAGCAGCTTTCTTTGTGCAACCCCCACGCGGATCTTCATCGTCCGTGAAGAGGCCTCATCTTGCGCTTCTTCGCGGAAGATGCTTTCGAAACATGGTCATGCTAGTGCTTACCGTGCGTGGGTGGTGGTGTCGAGGTTGGGGCACCAAAAAATTCTGATGCCGTGCCACAGCCTCAGCATTGGAACCGGAGACTCTCGAGTACCGGTGGCCGGGGCTCGACCGTCTCCCTTACTTTACTATGTACAGGCCACCAGGCCGGGTACTTACGGCCCTCGAGGGATCGGTTTCAGGGCTCGGCGGATGAAAATGGCTGAAGGAGTCAGCGATTGAGGCTGAACATGCCAGTGCGAGAAAACTCTTCAATTCCTCTCTGCCTCGGGGTCTGGGATCGGTCGACAACACCAATGCCAGAACACACACCCCCCGGTGTCAATGATGCAGAGACCTCGTTGTTTTTCTACCCACGCCAGGAGGATGAGACTCCTTGTCCCTCCAATTCCAGAGGGCGCTGCAAGTGCAACCACCACCACCAACATTTAACTGGCCCGTCACGGCTGCCGATATCGACATGTCGTTTCCCCCCCGCATTTCCGCAAGGGGGAAGAAGCAATGAAGGGGAAGAGGCGCACCCACAGGCGACTTACTACTGCTCATGGCGTGTACGGTGCGGCAGTGACCTCTTTGGCTCAACCACATCACACCACACACATTCGTCAGCAAGCTGTTGGAATGTTGAATCGCCTGATTCGGTGGCGGCAGCCAACCGGTCATCCACCGCAGGGTGTTCTATTAATGCCTGCCGGGCAACGGAGCGGCCCCTGTTACGAGACAACATTCCAGTACCATGCTCTTGGGACCACTGGCAGGGGGCAAAAGGACATGACCTACCTACGCTCATCTGCATGGGCTGAGCTCCAGGCTAGCCGTCAATGAAGAGTCCCCGGCGACTAAATAGGACACAGGATTCGTGTTGCGGGACCAACGACTGCATATGTTCCAGCCGTATGGCTCCACCCGGTCTCCACCACCGAAGGGCTGCGACATACACGAATAGGTCGAGCACGTTGAATTAGCAACGACAAGGCATCAGAAGCAGTCCAACAATGCCGGGACGCGGCTCAGTTTTGTGGGGGGTTGGTATGTGATACGTCGTGACTGCAGTGTTCAGCCGGCGGATACTGTTAGGCATCCTGCGAACCACACAAGGCTGATGCCTCGCTCGCCGGACGGCACAGAAAGCACACGCCCCTAGCTTGTACGGAGCAGGTCTCGTCTTTCAATAATCATACTTCTTTTTATTATACCTCTACCGAACTGCCTACGGCAATGGATCACTACTGCAAACTCCCTTGAAAAAGCACTGGATGGTATATCACTTTCCTCTTTGGGTCAAAAATCCGCTGCCGGGTCGCCTTGCCTGCCTGGTCGCCTGCCGCTTGCCTTCAATGGTCCCATCTGGCGAACACTCCCTCCTCTCCTTGCGGCGCCAACCATCATCGTCGTTGGAGCTGAGCTGAGGCCGAGTTCTTTCCCTGGCTCGGTATTGTTGCCGCTGTCAGAGACAACGGGTGGCCTGGCCAACGAAACGAATGCCTAGGTTCCGTTCGACTCAATTGGGCCTCGTGCATCCAGGGACGTTTATGCGAATCCGACTCGACACCATCGGCCAACATCACAAAACAACAGGCCTCTTCAGCTGGAGACATTAATACACCGGAGCGAAAGCCGCTAGTAGGCAAGGTATGCCGGCAAATTCCATCCATCCTAATGGGGTCTGGTGCTGAGGCCGTACACTCATTGGCACAAGGTGCCCACCTTCAGGCTGCCTAACTGGCCCCAGCGTACGATTGCAGCACCCGTCATGCGGGCCACGGCGTTCTCGTCACCAACCCTTAGTGCTCTGCGCACGCCACTCCAGCCTCGCCATGCTGAGGAAGGCTTGGTATCTGTCCCAGCAGTCTGGAGCTGCCCGTGACCACCGACGCCGTGCATCGACTTGCCTGCCTGGAGCCGTGGGCTAGTGGTGTATGATATATCACAACGGGGTTCTCCTCCCTGCCTCGCCGCCGCCACAGGTGAAGCCGGCGCAAGCTAGTGGGGGCTAGCTCTTTGACGATGGCCGCCCGAGGGTGTCCTCATGATTGTTTGCCACGAGCTCTGCCTGCCCGCGAACTCGGTCCGCATGGTCAGTAGCCAGCCAGGCCCGGGCGAGCTCTCTGGTCCCCTCCCACCCTTTGGCGATGCGAGCAAGAATCAACGACCTTGTCAGACTAATCCTCAGCCTGAGTCTAGACCCTTTGCTTCTGCGGGCCTGCAGCTATCCAATGAGCCGCAGCGTCGGCTATTCTTGCTGTGCCTACGCTCTCGGCTGCCGTCGGTCGCACTGGAGGTCGTTCGTGGCCTTCTGAGGCCAGGGGCGAGGGTGAAATTACCCTGTTGGCCTCGCGGCACAGTAGCTAATGCATAGACATGTATGTATGTATGTATGTGCATAGACACGCTTTAATCCGCCGGCCGATCGCCCCGCCTTGCGAGCCGTTGCCAACTCGCAGACGGTATATTCCTTACAGCAGGCTGCACGATGATGTGGCTCTTACTCTTCAGACGTGTTGTCTTGAGTGCATCCTGTCGTTTACAACCTGACAGGTCAAGGTGGAGACTCCACGCTTTTATTATTATGCATGGTCAGCCAGACAAGGTTTCACCCAAGCTGGTTCGCCCGTGAAAAACTGGGGAAGCCAACGAGAGACATTGAGATGTTGACAGCTGCTGCCGTCTGACGGCAGCATCTTCAAACATCATGTTGTGCAACACATATTCGTGTATGGTGGCGGGATGCGAAACGCCCACTGGGGCAGATCCCTCCAGGACGGAGGGCATATTGATGGTCTAATATGCCGACAGGCTCGCCACCTGGACTGCTCTCCCTGGTTTTGTGCAATGAAAATGATGTTAGGCGAGATGGAGAGAAGAAACGCTGCCCACCTGCAATCTACTCGCCTCACCGCGGGCGAATCAAGGGCACCCCGACGGCTTTCCCTTTCCAGCGAGACCTGCATCTTCGAGTCACTGGGTACACTATCCTCCGTGTAACATTGCTCGGTGAACGTGCAATTCCCCCTCGCCCCAGAAGGTGACTGATCAACTATCACAAAATGCTGGCTGGGCAGCTGGGGCGGGCCCTGCGCCGGCGTACAGGCGTGTTCGAGGGTGCACGCAGCCGCACTCCGATCAGATGACCGCGGCCCATTCACTCGTTGCTCAGGGGAATCTCGGGAGTGTCACTTTTGTCATTGAACAACTGGTCCTCCCTGCCGTAGCGGGCGCGATCATGTGGCCACGCAATGTGCTACACCCCCGAATCCCCGGCAGCGACCTGCGAAACAGAAATGCGCAACGCCTCCCCCCCCCCCCCCCCCCGGATGAGGTACAGAAATGCACAGGGCTTGTCATGTTCCACAACATTAGGTCCGTTCCCTCCCCCTCTTTGCACAGCACCTCCCTCTCACAGCAACAACGACGACAATAGCAATAGCAGCAACAGCAAGACAGTAAGTCTAGGCCCCTCGGAAGCCTCAGGGTAACGAAAAAGACCCGCGAGGAGAAGCCGCACGCCCGGCTTCGGTTGGACCACCATCATATTATCGACTCACTCCCACGTGGACAAGATCGGGCGACTGTTCACGCCTCCCTGTGCGCGAAAAAGTGGTGAACCCATGGCATTTCTAGGACGGCAGGGTCACCCTAAAGACTAGTGCTTGGGTGTCCAGGTTGAAGCCGCTATTGTCAGCGTACTGATATTGCCCAAAGTTGAGACGCCCGTCCTGGGTAATGAAGTCGTTGTCGCTGAGGCTGATTATGAAGTAGTCCTCCCCGTGGCTCTCAGGGTCGACCGGCGCAAGTGCTATCGACTCCCACTTTTCGTTCTGATGCCGTATGTCGATGTTAGCATCGACCACCTGGAACTTGCCGCTGTAGAAAATTTTCCCGCATACAACGGGGGGCCATGTTGCAGGTGGCGAGAAAGACAAGCGCCTCGAAGCGTAGTACGCATGAATGTGAGTGTGCCCTTGTGGCACGTATGATCTTTTGAGGGATTTTCCACTTACAAGCAGACCACTGTCCTGGTGTCCCCCGTTGTGGACGCCAAATTTGCCCAGCTCGCTGTTCACGTTGAAGTCCAGGAAGGAGCAGTACGCCGCTGGGCTGATCGCCTTGTCTAGTTTGCCCTTGGCGCTCGCGACCGCGCACTCCTCGCAGTCGTACTCGCTGCCCTTGATGTCCGTGGCGTTGGCGACGTCGAAGACATCGATGTGGCGGTACACGGACAGGGACTCGTCCTGGCCGTGGCCGAAGCCGCTGTCCCTCGCCAGGACTAGGAACTGGCCGTTGGGAAGCGCGTGCACCTCGGACTGGGAAGCTACCTTGGGGTTCTTTGAGGCCTTGGCCGTGTAGTCGTTGTACAGGGGAAGAGGCACAACGTGCTCAGATGTGTAGGCTGGGGCCAGCCTGTCCGAGACGTCGTAGGTTAGGAAGCGGGTATATCGCTCGGTTTGGGATGAGAGACCCTATGGGCAACGGTCAGCTCCTGGACTCAAGATCTAGGTCGTAGCCTAGCCAGATCATCGGACTTCAAAGCCCATGAAGTTGAACTTCGTTTCCTGCCCTTTGGCCCATGATGTCCTGTGAGTGAAGGTCTCTTGGGAATTATTGAACTTACACCTTCCTGGTTGGCTGCGGCCTGCAGTAAGAGGTAGAGCGTCCTGCCGTCAGCAGAGGCGGACAGACCTTCGAAGCCTATGTGCGATTTCAGTAACGGTGCCCCCATTGCCTCTTTCCCTCCATCTTGGGAATCCGCTTGGGCTGAGTAACACTGACCATGGTTGTTGTTCCTCCCCGTGGGGTTGTCAGCGGGTATCACGTCGTCTCCGGAGCCATCATCCTCATATGCGGGCGGCGAATCAGCCGAGAAAGAATCAGAGCCGTTCCTCTTCGGTATGATGGCCTCTGGGGGCCTGATGGCCGAGATGATGGTCCCGTTCGAGTCGAAGAGCCAGACGTACGGACCATACTCGTCACTGACCCAGAAAGTCCCATCATCGTTAATGACCAAGCCCTCGCTGTCCACGGAGATACGCTCAGTAGTGGTCCCGTTGGTGATGTCGGCTCCGAATCCATCCCCGGTGTATGTTGCAGCAGGTAGTTGTGGGAACCCATCGTATTCCAGACCGCCCGAGCCGTCTGCGTCTAGGCCGGTTGTTGGTTGCCCATCGGGTCCGCTCAAGAGGATCGTGTCGACGTAGTCGAAATTGAGGTTGGGCGATGCTGGGCTGTCGATGGTGGCATTGGGTTGAGGGACTAAAGTGATATGGAACTTGTGAACGCGGTTGATGAAGTCTTCAACACGTGCTTGTCAGTAATCTGAACAGTCATGGCGTAGTATGGAATTTCGGCCGGGGTTCTCCATTGCCTCGATAGATCATTCCTGTGAAGTGGAGGCAGCTGTTCGACATACTGAGAGTTCCTTGCGTGTTCCTGTATATGGAGTCAGCCTCTTAGTACATGTCTTGAAATTCAAACGATTGACGTTAGATACGTCGAGGTGAGTGTCGAGAAGCCGTAGGCTAGGTATCTGATGTCTGATCTTCTCTGATCTGGTAATTGCAACTGTGCCATACCCAAGTAGAAACAGACATAGGCCGTCACCTCACCTCGAAATACCGTAGCTCTAGTCACGAGGAGCAACAATCTGGAAAGCCCTCATCCAGGGGCCACATGCTGGCAACATCATTTCAGCCCAGAGGAGTGTTGCCCATGATGTCCAAGACAAGAGATACTCGCTCATACCTCAGCCTTCCGCCAGGGTGTTGAAAAGTTTGAGGCCAGCACTCGCCAGCCCGTTCTCAACACTGAGGTCTCTCTTTCCACGTGATGATTCTATCAGTGTGCAAAAGACTAGCCTGTGGCTAGGAACTCGCTCACCAGCCTCTATCCGGCGACGTCCACAACAGCCCTTCGTAACCCAGGCCATCATCGGTCTTCTTCCACGAGCTCTGGTCCAAGGCGACTAAGGTAGGTCAGTATAACTTCGCTCCGCATGTCTTCGGACCCGAGCCCAGGTTGCCTTCGTTGCAGGATCCGGCACTCACTTGCGCTGCCGATGCCGCCGATGGTGTCCCCGAACTTATCCGTCGCGTTACTGGGGATGATGCCGTAGCCTGCTAGCTCGTTGTAAGAGTACGACTTCCCGTTGCAATTCGTGCTGTTCACGGGTGTCCCGTCGATACTGCTGTGCCTCAGGCCACCTCCGGCGGCGCGGCCCAGGACGGGGGATACCGCTGCGGCAGCAACAGCCAGGACGGTGAGTTGAGTCGGGAGTATCATGGTTAATGTTGATGAGCAGTATCCTGACCAGACAATAGGGAAACAAAAAAGAGCAGCACGGTGACCAAGTCCTCTATCGTGCCTAGACGGCAGAACAGGATCAAGGCCCTTTACCTCCTCGATGGACAGCCCGTACTTGTCGTCGCCAGGATACGCTCACGATGGCAGGCGAATAAGGAGGCGAAGAACATGGTTTCACACCCGGGGCGCTATCGCGGGAGCAGCCGAAAGTGAAATGACCTCGTTGCCAGCATCCAATGCACCTGCGCGTCGCTACTTGTAGGTTGCCACACCCTTCCTGGGCGGCCCTCTCGAAGGGCTATCCCACCTACTACTGTACATGCGGCAGAACGGGTCCGTGTGTGCTAATACAGCGGTCTGCCGAAAGGAGAAGCGCAGGAGCGGGCCCAGATGCCAAGTGCGGTTGGCTCATTGCTAGAACTGGAGGAAAATGACGCCCAGGGGCGATGTCGTCCAGCACAGGGTGGGATGCGTTCGCTGGGGAGGAGTAGGGCAACTGACCGTGCTGGACATCGTACCCCTGGCGGGCGGGAAGTCCGTAGCGGCACACTCGGCACACGCACTCTCGGGGTCGTCATTGGACGTACCCCCGGAATGCTCGAGATGAACCCAGATTTGAACATGTTCTGCTCGGTCAAACCACCTGCGTTAGTCGCTTTATTAGTCCAACCCATACCTGAGGAGCATCGTTGGGCGTGTACCCGGGGGAGTTCTCATGCTGCAGATCCTCATTGCGACGCTATCACGTTGGACGTCTGGCACGTCCTATTCGCTCGTCATCTTGGGGCCAAATATCAACATCGTTGACCAACGACGACGTCGAGCACGTGGACAGTTGCTGTTTTTCTGCTTGGGTCGCAGGCATGACCCTTCCTGCCCACGACGGGCTCAAAAGCTGCCTTCATACAAGCAGGTCTGCAATATAGGACGAAGATGGAGAAGATCGCCTCTGGCGATGAGCACTTCTGACGGACTTTTGGCATCTGTCTACTCTGGATTATTTAGCTAAGTCGAACAAACCCCATGAGTCATCGACATGCGCCCCTCAGCATCCGGCATGGCGGTCGTCGACCGACCAGCTAAGCCGACTCCTTCCGGCAGACCAGAGTTCCTCCGTCAATTTCCTACACAAGAAGAGCCCCGTCTCGATACTTTTCTCCCTCGAGGTTGCCGCCCTCTCGCGCGAATACCATCTGTTGCTTCTAGACGAGTCAGCGGAGAAGGCTGTGTCTTCTCCTCGAATGATCTCTTAGCTGCCCCTGTCCCTACCAGCCTCGTGCCGGTTCTTCCTCTATGTGGTATCATACAAAATGGAATAGGGAATGTGTATTTTCGGGTGTGTCCGCGGCTGCAGATCACTCCCCGCCCCTTTCCCCCCCCCCCCGGTTTCGTCCCGCGCCATCCCTTGGCCGTGCCCTCTCATCGTCCTCCGGCAGTCAAAGACCGTAGACGTCCCAGCCGTCAAGAACGCCCGACGGACCCTCTGGGCCGCTAGACTCCTCAGTGCCCGCGACGTTTGGCGGTGCGAATTCGTTGCGAAACTCTTGTCTGAGTCACAGCTCGTCGTCATCGTTCTCCAGCTCCGACGGCTTCATGAGGCCGCCAACCTTCGATCTCCGGTCCAGGTCTGCCTGTTGCTTGGCAGCATCTTCTTTCTCCTTCTCAACTTGGTACAACTCGGCGTTGTCTCCAGCGTACTCCTTCATCGAAATGAGGAAGTCACGCAGGTGAAGCCGGAACTTGTCATACTGCGTGTTAAGCGCGAATAGCCCCTCAACAAAGGCAGCGATTTGTGGCCTGAAACGATGTTAGTGGATGTCATTAGCAGAAACATAGTGGTAGCACTCACGCTTGGAGGTTGTTGAACGCGTTTGCCAATAATGTCGCCACAAAGTTTCCGAGGAATTCGCGGTTCGAGGTGCCTGCCTGGGCCATCTCCGGCTGATAGATAGGGCCCTGGATCTTTGAAGCGGTTCCATCAGCTGGTTGCACAAAGTAGAACATGCGCATGAGCAACATCGACTGAGTCTTGAACCCGGCCTTGTGATCCTGGTCCGTGACCACGAAGAAGACGTCCTGCAGGATCGGCGTGAAGAACTGGTTGAAGAATGCGTTGGACGTCGAAACATCGGTTTTTTCGGCGATGTTGTTGATCAGCTCAAGACACATGTTAAGGCCTGCTGCTTCAACATCGCGATTATCGTGTTTGCTAGCCCACATGCACGAGTCAATGACAAACTTGAACTGTCGGTTGTCCAACTTCAACAGCGCAGGGAAGCAGTTCAGGTTGATCGCCCTCAGTAGGTTGAAGAACTCGACCCGATGCTCTGGGAACTCCGAGAAATCCTTGTTGATCATGTCCAGCGTGCATTCAAACACATTCTCCATGATGGCCGGTACTTGGTCCTCCATGAGAGAGGACAACTTGGAGATGACAGCAGTCATGGCCCTCAGAACCTCCGCATCACGGGCACCAGGCACGTTACGGTTGTAGTCGACAAGGACGCAGTCGAGCAGAGGCGGGACCATCTGGGTTCGCACGGCTGTGTGATCCTCGGCCTTGTCCACGTACGTCTCGATCAACTTCAAAATCTCCTTCTTGATCGTCCGCAAGCCTCGAACCTTCGGCATCTTGGTGGCGATCTCTCCTTCCTTTGCGACGGATTCAGAGATCAGCTGGCTCGTTGCCCTGTACATCTGCAGCATGTCGTGGTAGATACGGCCAATCTGCGGGAAGAAGTACGACCCGACCGACGAACAAGCTGAAACATTGGTCTTCATGATGTTCCCAATGATCTTGATCGTGTCGGCGTCTTGGAGGATGGCCGGGTTCACCGTTGCTTGCTTGATGATCTCATCCCAGGCAGCGTTGGGGTGCTGCATAAGCTCCGCCAAAAGTCGCTCCTGCTGGTTGCGGTTGCCCTGGGCCGCCACCATATAGCCGCAGGCCTCGTAGAAGGTATGCACTTGCTGAGGGGTGAGATCGCCCGTGATCTTGGGAAGGTTCCTAACGATTTCCTCGATGAAGGGTTCGTGCTCACTAGGCTGCAGGGCAACGAAATGACGCTTGCAAGACTTGGCTATCTTGATGAACGTATCGCATGCCATATCCTGAACACCTGTAACGATTGTCAGCTGTGACGTAGGATAGCGACAAGAAGCAACATACCTTCATGGGACTCGTGCATGAACTCAAACAACTTGTTCACGACCGTCTTTAGGAATTTCCAATGAGCCTTCAAGAAGCGAGGGTACTGGCCGACAATGTACATAATATTGGATGCGACCACGGCCTTGTTGTCCTTGCCACGCTTCATCTCGGTGAGACCAAGCAGATCTTTAATCACGGTGACCAGGAAGCGCTTTTCTGTCTCCTCGTTCATGGCCAGGGAAATCGATCCGATGGCCCAGCACAGGACGTTGCAGTTGTGCCAGGACCATTCCGAACCGTCGACCTGCTTGGCGAGCTTGTCTGTCATGATCTGTTCTGTATCGACGACGTCCAGGTGGGTCAGGTAGACGAGACACTCGCGGATGGTCTTGTATAGCTGCACTGTGTCGCTTTCCTTCACGAATTCCCGCACGATCTCGCCTTCCTCGTTCTCGACAATCAGAACCTCCTCAGGGCGAACCATCTTCTCGATCATAACGACTCGAAGGTTGGACAAGACCTCCTGGTATTTGTGCTTCCGCAAGGGGTAGTTGTTTAGAAGCGCGGGATTTGGTGCGCCACCTGACATGGCTCCCATGGCCATCAGTGGGTTGTCGCCGATGGGAAGGGACTGCATTTCCTCGTAGAGCTCCTGGACCAGCTTCAGCCAGTAATCCAGGCAAATCTTGAAAATTTCTCGGTCATCGATCTGAGAGATACGAATCAGGTAGTAGTGAGCATGGGAGAGGTAGTCGCGATTGGGCAGGTTCTCAATCAGGTTCAAGTGCATGGAGAAGAAATTCGTCAGAAAAAGAGCCAAATTCTGCACGAACTGCTGGTCTCGGGAGTTACTTTGTGGGTATGTCGTCTTGAGGTCCATTTGGATGGGTATAATGGTCGAAATAGTGGTTAGGACCTCAGTAAACATCTTTACAAGCTGCTCGTCGTAGTTGTTGCCCGCCGGGCCCCCAGTCTGGAGGCCGCCAATCTCCGTCAAGCATTGGAGCGTGACGTTGCGGAACTCGGGCACCTCCAGGAAACGTGTCCGCAGAAGTGAGATCAATGGCGTCTCAAAGATATAGCCGAGAGGAATCCAGTTGCAGAACCGAAGCAGTGTCTCTAGTGTCGCCAGTACCAAGCTTGGCTGGGTTGCCGTGTTAAGGATCTCCTGGCAAAGCTGGAAGATCTGAGAGAACTCGTTGCACATGGTCGTCTTCAGACTTCGGGTCTTGGTGGAGGTCATCTGCTCGGCGGAGTAGTCGAAGACCTCCTCGGACAGAAGTCGAAGGATGATCATATTGTTCTCGCAGACCGAGAGGCTCGAATGACAGGCTTGTATGATCTCGTTGATGAAGGTCGGCCAGTTGTGAGGCCACTCCTGCTTCAGGACGGAGATGAGGACGAGGTTAAGCTTGTTGAGCAAGGTTCGCTGGGATCGCAAGGACTCCTCGGTGCTGGAGCACTGCAGGATGAAGGAGACAATGAAGTTGCGGATGCCTGTACCCGGGTCAGCGGGCGATACAGCCAAAGTCTACCAGCTCAGCGTTGCGTACCTTGGCATTGCTCCCTCGGGAGAACCCTCCATCTCGTTGAGATGACGTTGTCGAGAACCTGCAGCGCCAGGTCTTTGCGACTGGTTAGCCCCAACTCGGCATGTTTGGTTTTGCTCTCGTGTACATACACTTCGTCTGTGGGTAGCTCGCCTTGGAGAGGATATCGTCCACCATAAGCCAAGCATCGGGATCCTCCTTGAACTGTAGTCATGACCAGTCAGCGATTGTCGGTTCCGGCATGCGGCGCGACCGGGTGGCTTACCTGGTTCAGAGCGGCCTGGGCGGCTTTTTGCTGTTGGAGGAGAGTATGGTCAGCGACTTTGTCCACAGCAGCCGTGGCAAAGATTAAATAAAGAGAAGCCTACCTGTTCGCCTCGTCCCTCGTAAAAGCTACGGACGAGCACGTCGAGCTCCTCGATAGATATCGCCATGGCGACGGCTTGGCGGCAAGGCAGTGGGAGGTTGGGGTTGTGTGCAGTCGGGTCGAGGTGGTGGTATTTGGCGGAGAGGTGGGACAAGAGGGGAAGAGGCACAAGCACCAAAGATGCTCGCGGAAAAGGAAAAAGGAGGTCTTTGCCCTGGGGTATGGCTGTTCTCTGGTGTGGTGGGAGGGACGTTGCGAGACCGCAAAAGAATGTCGGCTGAGGAGAGGCAGGTCAAGTCAAGAGAGGTGGTAAGCCTTGAGCTTTTGGACGGGAGACAAGAGGCTGCAGCCAGGCCGACCCAACCCACTTGCGCTCGCTCGCGCTACCCCGCCCGGAATTTTGCAGGGGCCAGGTACAGCTAACTACCTAGGTACTAACCACACGTCACTGGCAGCCTGACAGCTCGCGTCTCTCTGCGCATCAGCACTCTAAAAAAGCGCGTCGCTTCAAATCCTCAACTTCAACGGGTGATTCTCGCAGATGACTGGCTGTGGGGCTGGTCACACACTGAGCAGGGGCTGGTTTCGGGGCAGTCTGGTGGTGAGAATACTGCGCTCCCTCAAACCGAACGGAGCTCTTTTCTTCACACTTGCAGGGCGGTGCAGAGCGGGAGTGAGTCCTCGTCAGCAGGTGTTTACTAATGAATGGAAGAACACAGAAGACTCTCCCGGGACTCTCCCAGAAGCGCCAACAGTTCCGCGACAAAACGTTGACATCTAGACTACTGTCTCTATACACACGAGCCGCTTTCTCTTTTTTAATCGTCTCGTGGAAATTCGAATTTTGTCTACCAGTTGCCAGAATCCTGCCTCCCGTAGCGTCTGAGCTGTCATGCCGAGCTCGGGTTTTATGCCTTCTGATATCCACACTCGGTCAGGCCATCTTCCAACGCCTTGAGGGCGCGGTCGATATCGCCTCGCTTTTCATCCGTCACAGAGACGCCCATGTGCCCGAAACGGATGTACTTGGGTGCAATCTCCTTGTGGATGCCGCCAGCAAACACGACATTCCTCTTGGCCAGTGCAGGCAGGATCTCTGCAGCCTTGACATTGTCTGGCAGGTAAATGGCCGTCATGCAGTGAGATCGATCCTCGGGCTTGGACGCCACCTGCTTCAGGCCAAGGGCCTCGACGGCCTTCTTGATCCTGTCGGAGACCTCGGCGTGCTTTGCAAAGCGCGCTGACACAGGCCCAGCAGACAGGATCTGTTTGAGTGCTGTGTTAAGGGCGTGGATCAACTGTGGGGAGGGAGTGGCGAAATAAGAGGGCTTCTTAGCCTCGTAGTTCCTCATAACTGCAAGAGAGTCAGTCCTTGCTCCACCATCTCGCGACTCCGAAATAAGGGAAAACGTACTGGGGGTCCAGTTCTTCATAGACGCGAAATAAGCGCCAATCGGCGCCTTGCGCTCCTCAAACACCTTGATAGCCCGGCCGCTGAACATGGAAATGGACAATCCGGCAGGGCAGCCGATGGCCTTTTGGCTGGCGGTAACGACTCCGTCAAGCTTCCACTTGTCAAAGTCGATCTCCTCGCCGGCGACGGAGCAGACGCCGTCGACGATCAACAAAGTCTCGGGGGATACCCTCTGAACAAGCTCCGAAAGCTCCGGCAGCGTGCTCAACACGCCGGTCGAGGTGTCTACATGGGTGACAGAGATGACCTTGTACTTCTTGGACTTGAGGGCTGCCTCTATCTCGGGCAACTGCGGCCTTGAGCCGACGGCGGGCTTCAACTGGTCGACGTTGGCGCCGTAGACCTTGAAGCAGTCCGCAAAGCTGTCACCAAAGTAGCCGGTGGTCAAGACCAGCACGTTCTCACCGGGCTCAACAAGGTTGGCCGCGACCAGGTCCCAGCCCAGGGTTCCGGAACCCGAGATGACAAAGGGCTGCGAGGAAGGATCCGTTGTCTGGAAGAGCTTCCGCAACATGGACAAGGTATCACCAAACGTGGAGACAAAGCCAGGACCGACATGGCTCTCGCTACGGGATGAAAGTGGTTAATACTCTGCTTCTTCTGTACAACTTGCACGGCTGGGGTACACTGTCGGAAGACGGGCCACACCAAAGCCCCGAACGGGTAGGATGGGCACATAGGCCAACAGCTCCGGCAGCGCGACCCCGCTGTCATGTTCGGCTTCAGAAGCCACTCCTGCGCAGCGCCTGGGTGCCGCTGCAGAGCCATTGGTGTGGCATGCCTTGACACCGTGCCGTGAAGAAGTACAGTAGGATATATCTTGTCTCACCTGTAGTGACTCATAGACTGCAGCACAGCATCGTCAAACTCAATGGGCCCCGGGATGAGCAGGGTGGAGTGTTCTGGCTGGGAAGACATGGTGGCGGGATCCTGTGCTGTTGTTGTAGTAGTCGAGAGGTGTCGTGGTCCTTGCACTCGTGCTTGAGCAGTTGATGATGAAGATGAAGAGGATGAGGATGGTGCTGTTGAAAGCAAGTGATTCGCCGTGAGGGAGAGGCGACGGCTTGCGGAGCTGCCGCGGGGTATCATGGCTATGAGTGACAGGGGCCGAGACCGGTACATTGGGATGTCTTGGAGAGTCTGCTGCCCGGTACCCCAATCGGTGATCGGTGCCGCCCACACAGCACGGAACAAACAGCAAGTGATTGAACAGAAACCACAGATGGAAGTGGTGGAGCACAGGCCTCGTCCTGTTCTCTGCTGTCCTGTGTTGCCCTGTCCTCCACTGTCTATATCTGTTTCAAGCAAGGGAAGCGTGCTGGCAGGCGGGGGCATGAACCGATTTCAACGACATTTGACTAATAACTTGGGCACTCGGGTTGTGTACCGAACTGCCCAGCATTGTCTTTGCCCGAACTGCAACAGACACCGACAAATGGCCTTACTTTGACAACTCGGCTGCCAAGTCCGGGTTTGCTCCGGGCCTCGGGAGGCTGCGGTTGTCCAGCCTGCGAGGTACCAACGTACCTGCGCATCTGCTGCTACCGGCAGGCAGTTCCGGTCGGAGCTACCCCAGCAGCGGAGCGGGACAGACAGGGGTCCTACGTCCAGGTACCAGGCAGTGTATCTTGGTGGTGTAGATGATGTACGGTCGTCAGCCATGAGACGAGGTCTACAACAACTTTAGCTCCAAAGAACAACCACAACCGACGTTACGAGCCGTGCCCTGCCCCCCAGCGTCAGGAGAAGACCCACAGACGACTCCCAAGCATGCAGCAGGTTCCCCGCAACTAACCTTGGAAACCCGCGTGTCTACGACATCACCGGCGCCCCGGCGCCCTGGCCTGCCTCCTGCTGAAGCTCGACCCTCTTGGCCGAGTCGCTCTGGACGCGGTACGAGCCATTGAGGCACGAATCTTCGCCTCGACTCCTTCCTAGTTCCATCACAATACCGAGCGGCACAATGGCTTTCCTCATCCTAGTGATAGGGGACCTCCACATCCCCGATCGAGCTCTCGACATCCCCCCAAAGGTACCTCGCCAACGGCGCGCCCGCGCACACACACACACACACACACACCCCTCATACAAGACACCACCTTAATCCTCACCTCTCCGAAGCGAACAGGACAGCACGCTAACAGTCATCTCGCAGTTCAAAAAGCTCCTCGCCCCGGGCAAGATCTCCCAGTCCCTCTGCCTCGGCAACCTGACCGACAAGCCGACGTACGAGTACCTCCGCTCCATCTCGCCGGACCTCAAGATCGTCAAGGGCCGCTTCGACGTCGAGGCCACCTCCCTGCCCCTGACGCAGGTCGTCGCCCACGGCGGACTGCGCATCGGCTTCCTCGAGGGCTTCACCCTCGTCTCCAGCGAGCCCGACCTGCTGCTGGCCGAGGCCAACAAGCTCGATGTCGACGTCCTCTGCTGGGGCGGCACCCACAAGTTCGAGTGCTTTGAGTACATGGACAAGTTCTTCGTGAACCCGGGCTCCGCCACCGGCGCCTTCTCCACCGGCTGGGGCACCGGCGAGGGCGAGGAGGAGGAGGTCGTGCCGAGCTTCTGCTTGATGGATGTAGGTTGCGCCCCTTTTTGAACGTTGTTGCTGGCCATAGGCGGCACGTGGCCTCAGTGGCGGGCGGTAAGCCCATGTTTGCGGTTACAATTGAGCTGACGCCATCCCGACCTAGGTCCAAGGCATATCACTGACGCTGTATGTGTACCAACTGAGGAAGGATGAGAATGGCGCCGAGAACGTTGCGGTCGAGAAGGTCACGTATACAAAGCCGGTAGAACCGACAGGAGCATCATAGGGGGGTTCACGCGTCTGCACGAGAGAACATCAAGCTGTTGTGACGGACAGGCCGCAACTATTGCAACGGTGGCACACCGTTGAGAACATCATGACAAGGATTCAATGGCTGTGTGGGCTTGTTGGGTCTTCATGGAGAGACAGAGGCGCAGACGGACAAGCGGGAGTCTCATTTCTTCAAGTGCCACATTAGATACTCATAATGCCTCGTTCCAAAACTCGGCCTTACATGCGCTTCCTTTTGTTGCAAAAGAAACCACGCTGGTATCCTGGTTCTATCCATCCATCTCACAAGACCGCTCAAAGCCGCTCGAAACAGACCAGGTACGCCATGCTTGCAATTTCTCCGCAAAGATCGTCCCAGAATTCATTACATTACAACATCATGCTTCGACGCCTCGACGCCTTGTCCTGGAGTAGCGACGATGAAATGTCGCTCGCCGTCTCCAGGCTGGCCTCGTGTGAAGAATCCTCGTCCTGTACATCATCAAGCATGGATGTCTTCTTAGGCGCAGCCATCGACGCCCGTTTCCGGGAGGCCTTCTTCGCATCCACCCCTGATGCCGATTGGTCGTCGGTGCCCACGTTTTTGGCCACTGTGGACCGTCTCGCTCCCTTGCTGCCTCTCCCTTTTGGTTGGGACTCTCTGGGCTGCTCCATCACAGTGGACTCGTCTCGGAATTCGTATGGGTCGATCCCGTGACTCTCCTCGGCGCCACCTTCTTCATCTTGCTCATCTTCCGCCTTCTCTAGCTTTTCAAACAGTTGGCTTTGCCTAGATGATGGCCGCCTTCGCCGCTCGGTCACAGTTTGGCCTACCTGACCAGCTGGCAGTACTTCTTTCATTGAGTCTCTCTGTAATAATGGGCTCGTGACGGGAGGCCGGCGGGCTGCCTCGTTCTCCATGGCGGCTTCGGCTGCCGGAAGCTGAGTTGTCGTCGCTGAACGCGTGAGCTCGCCTTCGGCCGTGGGCTTTGATGCGGACGCCGAGGTGATATGGTGAGCTGAGCTGGTGCGCTTGTATTTGCCTTCTCCAGACACTGCATCCAACATCTCTTTGGTTGGCCGGCGCATCTTATCCCTGAGGTTGGGCTCGGTATAGCTGACAGATGCTCTTACCCTCCTGCTGGGTCGGGAAGTTTCTCCATGAGAGCTGATGTCTGCTGGCGGGGGCGTGTCTCTAGGCTTCTCGCTTGTGGATTTGGTTTCTGGGGTGTCAGGAAAGACAACTCCGGGGTCCGCTGATGGTGTCTCTGGTTCCACTGGTGGTCTTGCCGCCGATGGCCCTGCTGGCTGCAGTGAGGGGAGCTTGATTGGAACAACCCTCTTCTTCTTCAACGGCGCAGCCTTCAGCGAGATCTCCTTGGGTGGATCCGCCATGACCTTCATAAGATCTCCTGTTGTCGCTGATTTGGGAAGCTTCTTCGGTGAGATTACGCCGTCGTTCTTGCTCTTGTCTGCTAGCGGCTGCCTGGGCCGTGTCTTGGTGGGATCTGTGGTCTCGGCCCTCTTCTCGTCAGGCTTGGTTGACGAGTCCTTTGCACTGCGGCGATCCTTCAAATCTCTCACAATGAGTGGTCTATCGGGTACGATCTTGCTGCCAGCCTTCTCCGCGGTCGAGAATGCCCTAGACACTTGGAATTCGTCGTTCTCGTCGCCGAATTTTCTCTTAGAGCCGGCTTTGACGGGAGGATGAACTTGTGTGCGGACTGGCTTAACAGGTCTCGGACCATCCTGCGAGCTCGCCTCCGAGGCCACGCTGGCCTGCTTCGTCGGTTCTACATCAGGCTTTGAAGGGGAGCTGGATGGTAGGAGTGCTTCGATTTTGAGCTTGGGGCTAGGGTGTGAGACGCCAGTTGATCTGCTGGGGCTGTCGACTTTGACTGGTTCTTCAACAAAGCGTGAAGTAGGCGGTGGCCCGAGATCTGGGGACTCGTGTGAATCCTCGGCCTCGGAGCAGATTGCCAGTATTTCATTGTGGCTAAGAGAATGTCAGCATACTGTCTGCGCCAATACTTTACGGTGTTGACTTGGCATACTTCATCGTCCGTCGTGGATACGTTGTGTTTTCTTGGATAGGTGGTAGCCTCCCCTCCTGTAAAGCAGCCATGTCGGCGCTGCTCCTCGAATCCCGTGGCCTCTGCCTCGCTGCTGGGCTACGGTTTATGCTTGCACGCCGTCTGGCGACCGTCGTCCCACCTGGAGAAGAAGGGGCGTGCCTCTTGGCGGCGCGCTCCACCCCCAGCCCCCCGAGCATTGCGCTCCATTCCACGAGCTGAGCCTCCATCTTGGCCTTGATGTCAAGAGCATGGTCGGCGATTCTCTGTGCTTCTCTGCACTCGTCGAGTTCTCGTTCGAGCTCCAGTATGCGCCCATTCAGGGTAAGGTTGTCCGAGAGGAGTCGGCCGCATTCGCTCTCGAGCGACCGGATGCGCAAGGACTGTGCCGAATTGACCCTCGCGATATCTCGATTCTGCCGCAGGAATTTCCTCCTCACTGTTTGCGCACAAACCACGGGTCAGTATGTCGGAATGCCCACGTAAGCTTGGAAGCCAGCGGGCACCTACGCGTTTCAATGCTATCTGTTGACATTGGTACTTCGTTCAGTCTTGCCATCTCTCATAATTGCACCTAGGGCGAGCGGTTGGAGGGCGAAATAAATGTGGTAAGAGGTAGCAATTGAGAAGCTAGAGCGAGTGGATAGGAATGTTCTGTCCTGCTGTCAAGGTGGTCTAAGAAGGTGGTTGGACTGGGTCAAGGAAGTAAAGTGCTCATCCTTTGGTACTATTGGGGGGCTGGCTTTTCTGCACCAAGATGGCACCCGTGCGTTGGCCGAGCAACAGGAGCGGAAGGGATCCTCCCTCCCCCACTATCCAACCACACATGCCATCATCGCGTCGCAAGCTAGGGTCAGGGTCACTCAAGGTGTGCCTCTACCTTGGGTCAATTGAATGTGTTGACATCTGGTGTCCGTCCTCCACCTACCGCCAGACCCAAGGTGTTCACTACGAGGAATACAACCATCATGTCTTTCCCAGCTAGGTCTATCCAGCCGCACATCCGGCAACCCTCGATGGCGGGCTCGGCGTCGTCTGCAGGGCAGTCTCCTGCGTTGGTGGCACGGGTCAACGAGAAGAAGGCCGAGCTCGAGAATCTCCGAGAATTACGCGACCTGAGTGCTGCAGTCGCGTCGCAGATGGAGGCGTTGGAGCAGAAGCTGGGCACATTGTCTGACGGCACCGAAGGTATGGTCTGCAGCCAACAGTCTGCGTGATGTTGTCTCCAACGAGTAAATGGCCCGAGGTCTGACTGAAATCAACAGCGATCGCTCTTGTCATGAGCAACTGGCACAACGTCCTCCGTGCGATCAACATGGCCTCTTGTTAGTTCTCCTCCCCAACCTGCAGTAGTAACATATCGGGGAAAGTCATCTAATAGTCAACTTTTCACAGCCAAACTGCCGAAGCCGCAGACTGATGCAGAAGCAGCGGCAGCTCTGCCACAAACTCTAGTTCGCATTCCAACAGAGCACGCGCCCGCACTGCAGGCCCAGGCCGAGGCCGCCGAGGAAGCAAACGAGTGAGGCCGACGCTCGATTTGCGCAACTAGTCCCTCACTTTGGCTCCAGCGTCCTCGTGGAAAAGTTTGCCTTGGTGTTCAGCTCCCTGGGCTCAACGGACCGACCTTCTCAGGTCCCCCCCCCCAGACTGGATCCGTTTCAGCCCTTGCGACCCCACTACGCAGCAAGTCAGGTTCATGCCGGAGAGCCTAGCTCAAGACCTGACAGCCCTGGACGAACCGCCCTCTACGCAAGTCTATGCTTTGGTGGTGACGGACAATGCCGTCCAAGCCGAAGTTAGCACTTGCTGTCACTGGACGCGTCCGTGGATGGGTGGTGGAAGTATTTCAGCGGTGTTGCTGCGGGGCCGAGACGCCAGTGTCGATGCGACTCCCCTGCCCTCCGACGCACATTCCACGCATTGGTGGATTGTCAGGACAACAGGCAGTCATTATCTGACCCTGCAACGCGTACCTGCAGGCTGCATGTCACCCCGCTCTGAAATCCAGTCATGGTATGCACTGCCGACTCGGCTGAGACCCGACTAGAGAGGGACATGTTCAGTTTCTTGGACTCGACCGGCAGTTGTATGCGTTCAAATACACACGTCCCATAGATACGATCGCAATAAGACGATCCTGCTGCTATGTAGGATTTGCTGTCATGTTCCTGTCATTCCAAGGATTCGCAATTGTGGGCCAAGTGCGGGCACACTTGCAGTCAGTTTCTGGTAATCGATGGTCTCTCACACACACACACACACACACACACACACACACACACACACACACACACCAATTGCACATGCAAGAGCGGCCGACCTCACGCGTTGCCATCGCTCCTGCACCATCTAGTAGCTTTGTTTACTTTTACCCACGCGTTCACCAGCCGCTCTTCAGTAAGACTTGGTGCCAAGCCCGACCTCGTTTCTGGATGAAGCTTCATCCACATTTACCGTGTACACTTGCATTTCAGCCTTTTTGGGATCAGCATCCATCATCAAGAATGCACTTCTAGACCAGCTCGTCCTGCCTCTGTTAGCCCAATCATCACTCGCGAACTGCCCTCGTCGCCGGCGCGGCCACGTTTCCATCCCATCTCTGGCCGCCGTGTTTTGTTCATGCACCGAGATTGCGCTGCATTAGCTCGACCCTTGTCTGTGCTTGCGGCACGACTCTTTCTCGTTCCTGGGGCTTTCCGAAAAGGGCCAACCCCTGTCTCGCCTGTCTCGCCGAAAGATCCATCCGACCCTCCCCAGACGGGGATTTATTAGATGGCCCTCATGGCTGTCTCGCCCGCAGGTGGCACAGACCTCAATCTCTCCCCATCCTCAATTACAGCCAACTGCAATTGTGCCTCAAGCCCCGCCCACGACACTCTCAGCGCGACCAAGTCGAGCAAATCAAGCAGATCAGCGCGGAACACTGTTCATTGGGATCAAGACATCCTCGATCCCTCCGTCAAGGAGAACACTGGCCCAGAAGCGCAGCAAAACAAAGCACCAACCAACACCTCCACCAAGGGCTTCCACTGGACCCTCCGCTCCCAGGATATTCTTTCTGATCTCAGTGACAAAAAGTTTCGCGGTCAGCGACACCGTCCTCAGCTCGTGGCAGAGACGTTCACTGCCCCGGAGGTGCTCGCCGAGTCTATTGACAGCCTCTCGGCTCACAACGGTTCGTCACACAGACTGGTTGTTGATAAATCCCAAATAACTGGCTAATCCATGTTTTCTTCTAGATTCATTTGGTGATCACGACTTAGTCAAGGCAGCCAGACGTCTGGATCCCCTGGAGAACACTTTCGAGAAGCACAGAAAGAAGCAATTTCAATGGGTTCTGTCCCTGCCAGCTTCAGTCTGCTCAAGTCCTGACCAGCCCCGCCCGTCGTTGGATAGCCAACTGAACATCACTGCCTCCTGCATTCCCAGTCAAAGCGACAGGCGGTACTTCGGTTGTAACTTGCTCACTTGGACCGAGGCAGTTGGAAGAGAGGACCAACTTCCTGGCGACCCTGAGGACGAGTACTTGCTTCTGGCAACGCCCATTGATTTGACACCGGACCAGACTACAACAACCGATCCCGAAATTACTTCGCACCGATTCCGTGTCCTTCGGCAAAAAGATCACGACCTTGTAATGGCTACCTCTCGAATGATGAGCAGCCCTGCCAGCGCCGCAACCAGCGGACGCGGTCACTTTAACACCACGCCTCAGAGTGCGAATTGGTCCACTGCTGCAGATGCATCAGAGGACAGCGATAACACTCTCACTATCGAACCACCCCGGCGTCTTATGACGGCACCTATGAGCACGATCGAGGATTCTTTCGAAGAGCTCGACCAGCTTGAGGATGAATTTGAAGCTGTAGCAGCAGCCACGCGCTTGGCCCAAATGTCGAACGCCGGAGAAAAGAAACCCAGGGATCAAGTCGCTCAGTACTCACCTTCCCCCAAGCCGGCATCGAAGACGACCACGCCCAACGGCAAGGCAACTTTCAAGATGGCCAGCTCTGTGCGAGGCAAGCCAAGCGAGTCGTTGCCCCGTAGCTCGACGCGCAAACCCTCGCCTCCGAAGGCAGACTCGGAAGCTGAGAAACCAAACCTTACAACTACCACCAGGAAGGTGGCTCGACCAGCCAGTCTGGCCCCACCAAAGCCCTTACAGCGGGCCAGCAAGACACCGACTATTCCTACCTTTGAGCTGCCGGGCGAAAGGGTCGCGAGGGAGCTCAAGGAGAAGAAAGCAGCCAGACTTTCCATGCAGCTCGACTCGCTGAAGCTTGCCGATGACAAGGCTGCGTCTCAGCGGCCGCCTTCTTTCCGGTCTAGCAAGCCACCCACGATCCCTGACTTTGAGCTTCCTGGTGAAAGGGTCGCCAGGGAGCTGAAGGAGAAGAAGGCAGCCCGGTTGTCCATGCAGGTCGACCCTCAAAAGCTTGCTGAGTCCAGCCCTCCGCCCCAACGGGTCCGCTCTGTGAGGTCCAGCAAGCCCCCGACGGTCCCTAATTTCGAGCTGCCGGGTGAGTCGCACTCGCGGATGAAGAAGGAGCGGCTCGCGGCGAGGCTCAAGGCCGAAGAGGAAGAGATTCGCCAGCGGCGCCAGTTCAAGGCTCGGCCGCCACCTAGCAGCGTGGGCGGTTCTGCGACTGTACGCTCGACCTTTACTAGCCGTCAGCGTGAGTCCCAGGGTGGAACATCGGACCAACAGAGCACAGTCTCCCCGTTGGGCGCCTCACCCAGGTCTGGGGCGGGCAAACGCCAATCGGTCACGATGACACCTTCGGTGGCTCGTACCGTTAGCAACGCGTCCGCGTCCACCGCGCAAACAAATCGCGGGCGCACCTCCAGCGTCGGATCATCCCACTTCAGTGCTCGCGCAACCTCCTCGTCCAACGCTAGTGTCGTGTCGGCCAGCAAGCGGAGCCAGGTATCTAATGAGGAGATGCAGGAGCAGAAGTCCCGCGGCAGGGAGATCTATACGCGGGACAACTCGTACGGCCAGGACAAGGAGCGAGAGAAGCTTGAGCGCCAACAGGCAGTCCAGTTGGCGCGACAGAAGTATGCCGAGCAGAACCGCATGCGGGTTGCGGGCAAGGGCCTGAAGCAGCAGCAGCCATCGACTGCTCCCGGGGCAGGCCTCGACTAGGAGAGCGTGCCTGCAATGCCTGCCACACCCCCAGATGACGAGCCCCCTCAGGTGCCGGCGCACAGGGAGTTTCATGGCTTTGCGATAAAGAGCCGCGTGGAGTGAGTGATTAACGAGCTGATGATTTGACGAGTTGGCGTTTGGTTGTCTGTATTGTCCCTGCCGGTGTTGTACCACGTGTCGCGGAGGACTTGTTTGTGGTTATTTGCACGTTTTGTACCGGGCGTTGATTGGGTTTGGTGCAGTCTCTGGCAGGGTGGAGCAACAGATGCTCTCAATCACCCGCACGGGGTTATGAGACTCGGGCCAGTCCCATCATTTGGCTGTCGTGGATGGACCGCCACGAGGGATTCGAGCATCGTGTATATTTATACGCCCTTTTTGGCAAAATTCGGGGAGGACTAGGTCGGCATGAGAACAACGGGCGAGCATGGCTGTGTGTAGGCGCAAATGATGGCGTGCTGTAGGATAGATAACCATGATGAGTACCTGATATGGTCCTAGGGCTCCCCAAGGAGAGTCCCCAAGGAGGGTATCATATCAGGGCAGTGGACGCAGCCTTGAGCACCCCTTCCTTGGATGCGTGAGATGTGGTGATACCGTGAGAAAGGACGAACCATGTGCCCGTATTACCTGCCCACCGGCCAGGGTCTGTCTGGCTGTCGAATTACCGAGGATGGAGACAACAAAGGGCCAAGGCGTGTATCTTTCCCTCCTCTCTGCCTCACAATACTTTAGCAGCAGCAATAATTAGTATTGCCCGAACCGTCAATGGCGCCCGGTTCGCTCACCAAGGCCTCGCTCCGTGGGCAGATTGGGGTTGGGCACGGGGAGAGCGTGCGAGGCGACGGCGGGGAGGGAGGAATCCACGCCAAGCTTCGGCAGCTACTTGTAGCAGCGCACCACGTCCACAAACCGACACTTGCCCTCGCCTTTGGCCTAATTGCTCTCGGCCTCGTCGCATATTTTCGGCAGCAACGCATCTCTTGCACCTCGATCTGGATCCTACGGAGCCGTCGGCGTCGACAATACTGGCCCTCGCGGAACCGCTCTCCCAGTAGAAAAGGGGGCGCGGCCGGCGCGGCCTGCCTCACCGCCTCAGCCTGTGATACTTCGAGCGACCAGGCACTGGACATGGCCAGGCAGGAGAAGAAGGAGCAGCAACAGCCAGGGTCGGAGAACCGGAACCCTCTCCGGCCCAGGCCCCGCACGCCCACGCCGCACACGGGGCCGTCTGCGACCGTCCACCTCGCCCAGGGCCGCTACACGGGGGTGCTCCTGCCGGCCAGCTTCGCCGTGCCGCGCGCCGTCGAGGCCTGGCGCGGCATCCCCTTCGCGCAGACGACGGGCGGCCAGAACCGCTTCCGGCCTCCCGTCCCGTTGGCCGTGTCGGCGTCGTCGGCGGCGACCCCCTTGGACGCCAGCGCCTTCGGGCCCGTGTGCCCGGGCACGGCTTCGCGGATCCCGGGGATGGTCGACGGCGAGGACTGCCTCAACCTCAACGTGTACCGCCCGGCCGTGTCGTCGCCGTATGGGCCGGGCGGCGGCGCCGCCTCCAAGATGCCCGTGGTGGTCTACGTGCACGGCGGGGCGTTCAACGGCGGGCTGGGCACCGAGCGCGACATGAGCAGCTTCGTGGGCTGGTCCAGCACGCCCATCGTCGGCGTCAACTTCAACTACCGCGTCGGGGCGCTGGGGTTCCCGAGCTCGACCACGGCGGAGCGCGAGGGGGCGCTGAACCTCGGGCTGAGGGACCAGAGGCTGCTGTTCGAGTGGGTGAGGCAGAACATTGGCCAGTTTGGGGGCGATGAGGCCCGCGTCACGCTCATGGGGATGAGCGCGGGAGCGCATTCGGTGCGTTCTTTTGCCTTTTACTGAGTCCAGAGCGCTCCGTTATGGCCATGTTCCCTTTGCATATCACCGCCGTCGTCTTTATTGGAAGTTGGCTCAGTGCGCAATACTTGTTGCGTCATTTTCTTCTTGCCAGTACCACAGTCACACATGCTAACTCGGGTCCAGATCGGATACCATCTACAATCATACACATCAGAAGATGCCCCCTTCCACCGCGCAATAATGGAGTCCGGGGGCGCCACCGCGCGCGCAACCCTGTCATCATCTCACCCGCGCACAGAGGGGCAGTTCAGGGAATTCCTTGCCGCGGCAGGGATCGAGCCCACCCACACGCCTGCGGATCAGGTCTTCCCCATACTACGCTCGCTGCCGCTGGAAACAATCCTCTACGCCTCCAGCACCGTCTTCTCGCGGTACCAGGACCCGATCCGGTGGCCCTTCCAGCCCGTCGTCGAGTCCCTCCCGTCGTCCGGTGGCGGCAACGAGGGACGCAGCAGCAACGGCGGCGTCATCCCTGACCTCCCCATCAACCACTTCCGCCGCGGCAGCCACCTGAGGATCCCCGTGCTGGCGGGCTTCAATACCAACGAGGGCACCGTCTTCGCCTCGCCGCGCGTCGACACCGGCGACGAGTTCCTCGGCAAGTTCGCCGCTATGATTCCTGGTCTCGGCGGGGCCGACCTCGCCGCGCTGGCGAGGCTGTACCCGGACCCCGTCACCGACCCCTCGGGCCCGTACGCGAGCGTGCCGCCCGGCTTCGGCCGCCAGTGGGCGCGCTACGAGGCCGCGTACTCGCATTATGCCTATATATGTCCCGTCCTCCAGACTGGTCACTTCCACAGCGACCACGACGAGAGCGGCGGCGGCGGGGATGATTATCCTGTTTGGATCGTGAGTAGAAGAAGTTTCCTCTATTTACACTTGGCTCTCCTGTGTAGGCCCTGGGGCCAACTGCCATTGCCGGTCCAGCAAGCTCTGCACATGAGCCAAGCGGTGCCTCCCATTTGCTCATCTTACTTTCTCTTGACACGGAAGAGCGAAGGAACAGAAAAGACTAACCCCGGTGATACAGTACCACTTCGCGGCCCTCTCCCGACCCGACTTCGGCGGCAAGGCCAACCACGTCGACGAGGCCGCCCTGGTCGCCCACGACATGGCCGCCATCGGCGGCTTCCCGGGCCTGGTGAGGACTTCCGACGCCATGCACGGGGCATGGACGCGCTTCATCGCCACCGGAGACCCGAACCCGGCGCACATCGACGGGGAGGCGGGTCACTACTCCGCCTTGTCGTCGTCAGCCTCGACGCCCTTCTGGCCGCGCTTCAGCAGCCCCCTGGTGGGCGACACGGCCCTGGCGCCGGGACAGCTGCGGCGCAAGGGCCGGTCGGAGGGGGAGGAGTGCGGCCGCGTCATGATGTTCGGGCTGGGCAACGACGAGCGCATGGGCGGTGCCGGGAGGTCGACGCCCGGTGTTCCCGCGACTGTGGTCAGGATGACAGACGGTGAGGTCGAGAAGTGCCGGTTCTGGTGGGAGCGGGTTGAGCTGAGCGAGGGGACGGGCCGCAGGCTGGGGAGGGGCGCCGCGAGGTCTAATCTGTGATGTGTGTATGTATGTCTGTGCCCTCTTTCCCCCCCCCCCCCCCTCCTCTCCCTCCGAGTAGTGATAGTCTCTCATGGGGTAGATCATGTGCTAGCCTCCAGGACAACTGGACTAGCCCGTCGACGGATGTCGTCGACTGATGGAGAGGAGAAAGCAGGGAGCAAAATCCGGGCTCCAGAGCTAGGATATCTACGATACAGGGACGGTGCACATTGTTGTTATACTTAGACTACTTGGATATTTGCAACACCAGTAGCAATAGCCATGACCATACTTGAAGCATATAGCGGCCTCGTGACCTCCTACTGTTCAGATTACGTCTAGTAGTACAGTGCACAGGTGGTGTCTTCGTAGCCAATAAACCAATCAGTAGTAACATCCCTCCATCACGTCCTTCCAAGGTTCGGTGCCATGAATGCGCTGATACAAGGAACAGATGCTAGTGTTCTGCTCGGGAAGACTCACCACGTGTCAGGACCCGCCATTACAGAATCTTGAATATGGGCACTCTGGCACATGGCAATGGAGGAACAACACGAATTCACAGAAGAGCAAGTCGATGAAATCCATATATATGTTATTAGCCTCTCGGCTAGCTGAGCTCCGACCACACTCTGTGACGGAACTCCAAGGCAATCGAGCCACATCCCCCAACCATTCATATGTTCTAGTAAAGCATCAACAACTAGGCACGTAGATATGTACAACCATTTCCTTCAAAACACGACTCATGGCTCCATATTGTACAGCATCTTAGTTGTTCCTCCTCCTTTTCGAGACCTGCAGCCACACTGTGCGAGCAAGTCCCCCAGATCTCTTGAGCATCAAAAATCAGCTCCAGCCTTACCAATCAGCCGTTGGTAAATTGCCGTCCGGCTCAAGAGATCCTTCCATCTCCGGAGCCACTTCGCTTTTGGTTTCGATAGCCCGTGGTCGAGGTCGTGGGAATTATCCTCTCCAAGCATACAACGGGACATGTGCGCGTGCGTTGTCCGATTAGATGCGTGTACTGTGCTTTGCGAGGTCGTGTCGAACTCGAACATTATGATTGCATACAACCAGAGAAGTTAAATTGGAACAACAAAGGAGAATTTTTGCCATAGAACACCACTAAACGCCGCCAAAAAGTGATGATGATATTTTGTCCGAACGCCGAAGGATGGGATTAAAGCCAGTATTGTGGGTAGACGTGTCCGGATGTAGGGTGGAAGAAGGGTATCTATCGTAAAAGCTCATGCCTGGTGGTTGTACACAACCGTCTCCGGCAAACGGCTCAACGCGCAATGTGACCGGTTCAGAAGATGGCGCCGTCAAACGCATTAGAAGTTTTGTGAGATGCCGGCGCTCTGGTTTTGCGGGAAGTGCGAGGGGTTCTCGATGCGCGTGTTTCGTCGTGCCGGGTTATCCCTAATAACAGGCTGACCACCAGGCGGGCTGTTGTATGCACCGTTCTCGGTGTAAGGATCGTATTGTGCGTAGTACTGGTCTCCACCATAGGCCTGGCCAATCTCTCCGGACCCGTCTGAGGGTGCGCCGGCACTGTAGGATGAGGATGCGTTGGACGGCCCTCGCCGGACGTTGCCTCCCCGATTGTTAGCCGTGGACGGGCCCATAGCACCGAGTATTTCGCCTTCAGGAGAGTGGTGCCCTTCTTGCATCAGGGGCTCGCCGGGGTGTGTGGCCCGCGTCGGTGAAGCACCGTCGGAGTAGGGTTGGTCTGAGTATGGGGTATCGGAGACCATGCCGCCGGACATGGTCGTCGAGGCCTTGCGGCCTGTCGAGCCGCCTAACGTTGTCGATCCCCATCCACGGTATCCTGACGAGGAGTCTTCCTTCATTTCGTAGCCAGCGCCACCACCAGAGCCAGGAATTGTAGGATCCGCGTTCGGGTTGTAGGTGTAGTCCTCGACCTCCTTCCGTCTCTCTTCAGCCGCCTCCTTGCGTGCCTTGCGTTTCCTCCACAGCCAGAGGCCCAGAGCGACCAGAATTGCCACAGCGGCGATAGGGACAACCACCGCGACGGCGATAGTCCCACCGGTCCCTATGCCATTGCTGGAGTTGGACTCGCTGCTCTGTATCGATCCGGCACTGGTCTCAGACGCCGAGCCCGCGTTGGTGGGAGTTGGTGTGTTGATGACGGTCCTCGTAATGACCTGAGTACTCGTAGTCCCATCAGAAACAATGACAGAGGAAGAGACTGAAGTTTCTGTCGTCGGGGTCGGGGTTGCCGTTGTTGATGTCGAAGAAGAAGTAGTCTCCTCAGACGTCGAGGACGTGGTTGGGGTAGTCTCAGCAGTTGTCAAAGTTGTAGGCTCTGCCGTTGTTGTCGGGGGGGTTGTTGGTGGATCCGAGGTAGTTGTTGCTGAAGTGAGAGTAGTAGGCACCGGTTCTGAAGTCGGTGTTGTCACCGTCTGCGCAGTACTGGCGGTGGTCTCCGGAGCTAAGGAGGTGGAGGTAGTGTCAGCAGGAGTACTTGTCAGCGTATCGGCCGGCGTGCTGGTCGGCGTCGCGGACGGCTCCGACGTCGCCGACGCAGTAGCCGTGGAGACTGTCGCAGCAGTATCACCCGTACTTAGGGAGGTGGCATTGCTCGCCGACATGATTAATAAGGGCTTGAACGTCAACTGGCTAGACGTAGGCCTAGAAGTGGGAGCCATGTTAGCGATGCTGCGAGACCAAAGAATTCACGAGACATCTTGGGACTCAGCGCTCGAGAGCAAATTGGGAAGAAGGCAAGATGAGGCAAGCGAAGATAAGGTAACGAGACGTCGCAGATCGACAGACAAAACAGACTAGACAATTCACAGGCGTGTGCGATGATACAGATTGTTTGGGTGACGCGCGAAGGGTACACATGTGAAGCAGAGGCGCGAGTGACAGCGCATTGGCAGGGTTGATCAGTGAGCATACCTGAATTGATGGGTTCGTCAGAGAGTCGACTGCAGCGAGTCGACGGGACTGATGCAGGTCCCAGGTGAGACGTGGAGCCGGAGGAAGCTGGGGACTCGTTGTGGACGTGCGATGGTTTGCAGTGCGTCTCGCCGTGGTGGATGTTGCAGCAGAAAGGGGGGCAAATTGACGCCGCAGGAAAGAAAACTGCTGGATGTGGCGGGACGAGAGAGTTGGGCGTCAAACAGTGGCCGGCCACGCAAGATGGTCGGAGAGCCAGTCGATCTGGGCTGGGCGGCTGAAGAGACGAGATAGACGCCCCAACTCCGGAACCCCAAGGAGAAAGCCTGCAGGGCGGAGATTGACGGTCCAGAGCTTGTGCCTGTCCTGTTGACTCGGGGGTCGCGGGACGCGGGTCTCGGGCTGGAATGCTTTGATCGAAAGGCCCAAAGTTGACGCGACTCTCTTGTCGAAAGCAGTGTGCTGTGTATCCTGGGGTGCAGTCGAGCGGAGAGGAATGGAAGGAATCTCCAATGCCAGGGGAACACGAGGAATTGGATGGGGTTATTAGAGAGGGCGCGGTGGTAGTGCCGGGTAGACGAGACAGGCAAGCGTCTGGTGGCCGGCTAAGCAGGTCGGCGGGCTTGCCTGGCTTGGTGGTGTGGTGTGGTGTGCTGAGTGGGTGGTGCACCGTCCTCGGGACTATTCTCCTCCTTCTGCCGTGGCAATCAATCCAAGGCGCACACCTCTCCAATTGCGGGTGAGGACTTTTGGTCTCGACTGCTCGACTGCAGGGCAGGATCCTGATTGACTGTTTGGGGTCGGAGAAGGATGTTGCTTGTTCGCCCCCCGAGTCTCTTCCTCTTCCTTTTCTGGGCGGCAAGTCGACTGGCAGACGCGCAGACGCCAGATGCCAAATCTCCCAAATTTGTCCGAAGTGATTGACGGGTGAGAGTTGACGGTCAGTCAAGTCGGTTTTGGCGAGAGTGGAAAGTGGCTTGGAGACTCTTTTGGCAACCTCTGCAACGTTTTGGAACGTCTGGGAAGTTGGACCGGCGGAGCCAAGATGAGGTCAGGCCCAGAGGAGCAAGGCAGGGCAGGGCAGCAGGGCAGGGGAGGGCGATGCAGCTAGCAGGTAGCTTGGTGGGCGCAGCGTCAGTCCCCCTTTGGCTTTGGATCTCTTGGCGGCGAGCAAAGCAGACAGGCTCAAGACGGGCAGGACGGGACTCGAGGGGGCCAGCTGGGAAAGGACTCAACAAGACGAGTGCTCTAGCGTGTGTCGTATCGGGAGTGCTAGCGAGCAGCTCTGAGTGGCGGAATCCCCACAGCCCCCGGTCCTCGCTTCCCTTTTCCTCTCACCTTCTTACAGTACTTGCCGTAGCTCCGTCTCACTGTGAGGTCACTGAGCCAGAGTCCAGTCGAGCTGGCCCGAGGCTGTCTCGGTCCTCCTCTCCGTCTTTCTTCGGATCGGCAGTGACGGCGTCCAAAAACCCACGGACGGGGCCTTTTCCCCTCCTCGTGTCTGCGACGCAGATCTTTGCGTTGTTGTCGTTATCGCCTTGACGATGATGCACCACCTTCCCGTTTCCTCGCACTGACACGGTCAGGGCTGAGCTGGCGAAATAAAAAATTTAAAAAAAAAAAAAAAAAAAAAAAAAAAAAAAAAACTAGCTCTGCTGTTTCGTAGCCAGGACCGGGAGGGACAAAATGTGCCCAGATTGCTGAGGGTCGGATTGCTGATTCATGTGTTGACGGAGGCCCTGTTCCTCAATCTCGCAGAGGTGGAGCTGACATTTACACTTTGCTTGCCTTGGCTTTGCAAACTGACGATCCTTCCTGCTCTTCCCGTCTGTTCTTTTGCGTCCTCTGTCTGCTCGAGGTCGGCTTGGGTGTCGTGTTGTATCTCGTCTTGTTTGCTCGTGTCCTGGTGTGGCCGTAATCCGACCGTGCTGGTGTCCTCCTCGACACGACACGGTAGCCAGGCTGTCGGCTCGGCCGTCTAGCTGACACCAAGAGACGCCGGCTGCAAAAAAGAAGTGGGAGGCGAAGCTCCAGCGCTTTTCTCTTTAGACTCGCCAATTGGGTCTTCTGTTGCTATTTGCGTCCTGAGACCAATCTCGTGGTTGGCAGGTTAGTCGGAGCTCTTTTTGACGATCAACCAGGAGGCCCTCTTTTGGTTTGTTTGTCTCCACCTCTTGGAATACGTCAGATGAGCCGGTGTGCTCATCTACCGTGTAACAAGTACGGTGCTCTTCCAGATGGCCGGATTGATACGGCCCGTGGGCGATTGGGCAATCTCTTGGTGGATCGCCGTTGCTTTCGTGATCGGATGCTTCGGTGCGAATGGTCGAGAATGTTTCTATCGCCTGTGCTTGCAGATAGATGGATAAATGATAGACTACAAGTCGGCGAGATCGACAATGGTGGTCCTAACACATTTCAGCGACCTTGAGACTGGTCATGACCACTTTGAGCCGTCGAGGGCTATACATATATCAATGCCACATTCGCCTATAGAGACAGCACCTAAGCTTCGGCCGAGACCGTTCCGAACGCACTGCATGATAACCATCATGCAGTGCGACAGCAGGGCAGGTTCAATGCATAGTCTGAAGGCGACAGGCTACCCAAGCATGAGCGATGCCACTTGATGACTACATGGTGTTTCGGCGTCTCCATTACGCCGAACCATCATCAATCCCAAGGAGGCGGCGGGAATGGGAAGGTCAATCATCGTGGTAGTGTATGGCATCTGTAAGCGACGAGCATATTTCACGCACAACTCAGTCCACAAAGAGGCAACAACCAGCCTGCACAATACAGACCGCTTCCCGGTCTCACACACGACGGTCCAGCCTCTCAGACGGCGTTGCTGGACACCACCATCACGCATTCCCGGGGGCGAAGGTGGGATGAAAAGCTACCCCGTGGTGACCATCACGCACAGAACATGTGTTGCTCACCCACTGCTTACAGTATCACCGCAGCTCGTCCTACTGTAGTCTACCTACTAGGTAGCCAGCCCCTCAAACCGGCCATCCCACTCCGATTATCTCACCCGTCTGTCCTACAGTCGAGTATCCCAAAGTCGTGAGGTCGTTCATCCAAGGGCCGATTATCCCACTGTCGATTATCCCAAAGCAGGTCGGCCATCCTATGCCGAAGGAGGAGGAGGTCGAAATGCCAACGGAGACATGCCGGCACTATGTCTTGGGGGCTTCACTCACACACCGAGCCTTCGGCCCCTCTCCGCGCTCCCTGTGTTTTGACTGGCCGAACATAATCACATACCTGAAATCCTCCAGGTGAGGAAATCAACAGGGAGGAATGACGTTTCGCATTATCTCATCGTCTATTGCGGTATAAGGCCAGAAAAGCTGGGTCGGTTTTTTTTAAATTCCAAGGATGTCACAACCATTAACACCGAGTGCTTATAGCCCCCCCCCCCAGGCTCCCCCGTTCACGTCATAAACCCCAGGGTCAGCGCCGAGGTCGATCGTCGATTAGCTAGGCCAGGGGGGAAGTGAGGGCCACCCTGTATGCTAAACCGGTCAAATTCCAGAACGGCCCTGCCCATGATTGTTCCATGTCTCTCATCCGACATCATATTGTGACGGTGGACGGGCTCTAGGAAATATAGTGAGCACCAGTCAAAAGGGGGACGGCTGTCGACGGTGAATCCGAACCTAGCAGCACTCGCTCAAGCGCGCAAATGGCTAGCGTGCTTGCTTGGAAACCTTTGAATGGTTCGCTGGCATTCTGCGGGCTCCCTCACTAGGCGAAACAGAGTTTCGCTGGATGCTGCAGCAGTAAGCCTGTGGTAACGTGTGATTCAGCGTTGGAGATGGCGCGCACAGATTAACCGTGGCGCATTTGCCGTCCCGTCAGAACTAGTCGCGGCTGAGAGCTATATTCAGCGAGACCGAGACGCCACAGGCTTTTGACAATTGAATAACGTCTTGTTGACGACCTGGACGTGACCAGCGTCACAAGCACTCCGAGGCATTCAGTAAATCAAGGGACCAGAGGGACTAGTGGAAGATACACTTCAGATTTATTCAGAAGTCTTTTCTACCATTGTTAAGAATTATATAAAACACAGGAATTTCCCTAGATACACTCCTCTATAGATGCAGTTCGTGCCAGGTAAGGCCAGCCAGGCCATGACAGGCTGCGCCCACCTCTACCCGCGGGCAGCAGCAGACATTAACCACTATGTTGTTGGTAGGGTAATTGTCGCGTCGTGGCGGGGAAGCAGTCCTCGCAAGAAGATATCGAACAAAATATCAACCCAAATCATCAACTCCGTTGAACCTGGGCCAGTTTATATGGTCTGGCCCCATGCTTTGATTCGCCAGTGCTGCCATTTCGCCACGCCATGAAACACCTAGTTCTGTTGTCAAGTAGTTTATATGGGCCCCTCAAGAGTCTAGGTTGTGCAATATGTACAATCAACCGTCCGCATGGGGGGTCGCCTCTTAAGACTGCTTCTTCGTGTCTACACCACCAATGTTCCACGTCGGCTTCAGTGAATCCATTGCTGAATCTTGAGTGAAGATGACATCTCCGGGCAGACGGCTGACACGGCCAGCACCGCTGCGCATGGCGTAGCTGGCTGCTTGCGACACACCGCTGCGGTTGGACCGGATGGAGCCCGCGTCACTCATCGTGTCGGGGTCCTTGAACTTGCGTGGTGGAGCGAAGTCAAGGCCGGTAAATGTGCTGGACTTCCGCAGGATGTGACTGTTTCCGAACTGTTAGTGCATTGCACGTGAGTGGGTGCCGGGGGAGACAGGATACTTACGGGCTGGGAAGAGCGGCCATCTCGTCGAACGTGCTCACTAGTGGTGAGGCAGCGGGGAGCTTTGGCGCGTATGGGCGACGCTCGCCGAGAGGACTCTGGGACCTTCCGGACGCGCGTTCGCTAAAGCTCTCTGGGGGAGCGAAGTCGGCCGCGTTGATAAGGGAGAAGTGGTCGTCCGTGAGCTTGGATGGGGTGGGCAGGGTGTTCAAGGCAGCGGGAGGAGGCATGGGCTTCCGGGGCCTTCCGGACATGGCGGAACCGGAGCGAGGAGCACGGGCGGAGGCAGACGAGTCAGGTCGTGGTCCAAAAGACATGGCCGAGACAGCACGTGGCATGCTCATGCCGCTGATGGAACCTCCATGGGGGCGGCCGCGGAATGGCCCTCTGGGTCCAGGCGATCCCGGACCCCTTGGCCCAGGACCACGAGGACCAGGGCCACGCGGGCCGGGGAAGCGGGATCCAGATGGAGGAGGCGTCATCGCACGACGGCCAACAGGCTGCGCGTATGGCATGATGAACTGGTTCGAATCAGGGTCGAAGTAGGCACCATCTCCCAGTTGGTTTGCACCACCCGGGGCGTACTGTGTCTGTCTGTTGGGGTCCTTGTCCTCGAAGTATTCCTTGTAGAAGGATCGGATGCGGTTAGCCCGTGTCTCTGGGTCCTCAGACTCTATCACCTCATCTGGCGGCAGAGGCCGGAATCCAATGGACAGGCGGTTGCTGTTCTGCACCGGAACACCGAGAGCGCTCTCGCGAACACGTCCACGTCCACGCTCCTCCTCTTCTTGAGGCTCCTGGATCGCCGGAGGGAAGCTGTAGTCGGCATAGTCGTCGGTGTACTCGATTGCGGCAGAAACACTTTGGTGACCAGGACCGGCATTGACGGCAACCTCGGCGAACGGGGAGTTTTGCTTGGGGGCTTGGGGACCGTCCAACACGCCGAGGCCGAGGCTGCTGTTGGTGGTTGACCGTATCGCGAGCTCATCAACCGATTCCTTGCTGGTGTGGCTTACTGAGAAGTCGGGCATGTTCAATTCCTTCACTGGCTCAGGAGCACCCCTCTGTGCCACCGGAGCAGGCTGTTGGATTTCGGGGATGACAGGAACGGGGGAAGAAGTATCGTGATGCGGCATAGGCTCATGCTCCGGGACAGTCGGTTCCTTCCCGGGAGCCGATGGTACAAATTCGGAGGCCGGAGACTCAACAGCAGTCACTGACGACGAAGCACTGGGTGTCAGAGGAGAGGGTGACTTGGGGTATGAGTTCTGTCGCAGAGGGGTAGGCTGTGGGTAGCCGGGGGACTTGGGATAGGCGTAGGACTGGCGGGATACGCGCTTCGTTGAGGTTGTGGTCATCGAGGGCGTGTATCGGCTGGACTTTTCGAAGGAGCGGATGGAGCCTGTCTCGCTCATGTAGGTGGCGATCGGTCGGTATGGGTCGTCGGGCTGATGCAGCGTTTTGGCGAGGGAATTCATCGACTCTCGAGAGCCTTGGACGTGCTCAGGCAGCAGGTAAGGGCTCGACAGGTTCATGTCGAGTGACAGACCACGGGTCTTCTTTGACTTCTCCCCACCGAGACCCAGAGCACTCTTGCGCTTCGACTTGGAACTGCCCGCATCTCCCACACCGAAATCCAATGATTTGTGAGCCTCATTGGCATCCTCCAACGCTTGGCGTCTAACATTCCTGCGGTGGAAGTAGAAGAGAACACACGCAAACGCTACCACCACCGGAACCCTGTGTCACTATCAGCATGCCATACCTGTCAAGTCACCGCGGATTAAATTGACTCACAAGACACCGACGGTGATTTGCGTCGACACGTTCATGTTGGTGGGCTTCTCGCAAGTGTTTGACGATGTGCTGGAACTGCAGTCCGAGGAACCTGACGACCGGCCAACCACACGACTAGGGACGACGTTCCAAGCTCTTTCCACGCTCTCCTGCTCAGACTGCGCGGCGAGACTCCTCCGCAATGGTACCCTTGGTCCTAGATGGTGTGCGTAGTTCATTCCATCCATACCTGCGGTTCAAGCAACCAGCTCTATGATGAAGCGGTTTCGAAAGGCCGGGCACGTTGCTGTCGGGTTGATTGCCGAGTCCACACACAAAGAGAAGAGGTTCACAGTCCAAGCACAAGACAATCAGTCCTACAGGAATTAAGGCTTTGTCGTCGAGGTCGTGAATGGGGTAGGGCGGCTGGGGTGCGTGGAAGGAGAGACTGGCTGGCTTGCAGGCTAAGGAATGAGGCAATTGACAAACTCCAGATGCCTTAGCTTCGAGAAAGAGCGGCTGTTCAAAAAGATAGAACGACTATATAAAAATGAGTGACTTGAGGATTGAGGACCGGTTGTAACGAATGTGCGACCTGCTGGCAGGCTTGCGAAGGCGAGGACGACGACTAGGAGGGTATTACAAGCATCGAAGTCCTCTCGGTGAAGCTTCACGCCAAGGCAGGGTCGGTGGTGAGAAGAGGAGTGGGATCCTGATGAGGAACAGGAAGGAGAGACAAAACAGTGATCGACCGGGCGGCAGAAGAGGAAGCGGCTCAAAGAAGAGCGGCCCAGGCCCAGCACCAATACAAGCACCCACCGGCGACACCCAAGATAGAGCGGGTCGGGGAAATGAGAAGGAGACCGGGGGACGGGGGCACTGAGGTATCGTCAAATGTTCATCCAATCTGTGCCAGGGGCCCCTGAGCGTTTGCGGGACGGGCAAATCAGAGGGCTGATGTACCTTGCATCTCAGGGACAGGGGCGTGCGGAGCTGAGCCAAACAACTGCACAAGTGCTGCACAAGTCAATGAAACGCACAATTGCGAGCGTCTAATCTCGCCTGTAGATTAGCGTCGGTGCTTTCCTTGCCGCAGGGGACATCACCGAACCCATCCACTTCCAAATAAAATCCAAGTGGGCTGCCGAGATTATGTGGATCGGCACCTCTCAGGGGGTTGACCTGGGAGGTGACCGACGCTCTTTGTTAATCATCGCAGCAGCTGAAGCAGCACCAGCAACAGCAGCAAGCAACTGCGAGAGAAGCTTGCAGCTCGGCCATCCCAGCAGATTGAGCCGTTGGAACCAGAGGGTGGCCTTTGTCGTCCACTGTCTTTGTCGAGCCCGACCATTGGGACACTATAGGCCTGCTGCTTGGCGACAGGTAATCAAGCCACTGCGAAGCATTTGCTTCTTCTCGATTAAGGGGCCAGTCCCGCCGATCTCTCGAGCGCAAAGCTTTATCGGCCGAGTCAGAAGTTCCTGGCCAGCCTGTTTTGCCCAGCACTGCAGCTGGTTACACTTCGGCGCACTGCTGTTTACGGCGCGGCGGGCTGGTGATGAGGAACCCATGGAACCAGACCTGGGCCCGGGCCCAGTGCAACTACACGCCCCGGCAGTGTAAGCAGGGCACGGCAGGGCTATCGTCAGGGGCAGCGTTCGAGAACCAAGCTTGCGGTGATTTCTGCACAACGGGGGGGCCGGTGGAGAACAGGCTAGTCGAACCAAAAGCACGTCGGATTGAGACCCGTATTCCCAGCTGGCTCGTGTAACCTCGTAGAAGGAAGATCCAGGTGCCGTACCGGCTACACGAATTAGCCTCATATTTGCTCCCAATACAAGCCTGCGCGTCATTGGGTCCTCGGTGTTATTATACCTATGCTTCCTTCATATAGATATGTTGCTGCAGACGCAACACGATTTCGCCAGCAGAGGACTTGAACTACGTGGGTGTACTCTCATGGCGCAAGGATATAGCCTGCTTATCGCCTTGGTAGATTAAGAGTCCGCCGTTTGTCTGAGAGCCTGCTTCCAGGCTCTCAGGGATCCCAAGCGTTCGCGTGTGGCCTGACCATTGCAGTGTCTCCTGTGCGATCACCTTCTGGACGAAGCCCTAAAAGTTGGAAGTCTTATCTTGTAAGAGAAGCTCCGAGATGGTATCTCGGTGTGGTCCAGCATAGTTACATGAGGATCTAACAAAGTCTTGCACAATTGACCATACTATGCAAAGCCGTGGCCGACTTGCCTTTTCAAGTCACCTTGACTTCGAATTCTATTTGCTGCTACTCCTTGATGCATGGTATTCGACGAAACCCCTTCCGGACCATGTATGCCTCCTGGATGGCTGGTGCCAATGCTGAAACAGAACGCCATGCTATGCAGATAAAACAGATGGCCGATTCATTCGACTTGGCCACATACCTCACCATTGACACTTTACTTCACTTTTGACCCCTTTCCCAGAGACGGCTGCCACCTACAGCCGCAGGAGTTACTCTCCCTGCCCTGTTTGAAAATTTGTCACAATGTAATTGTTCGTCACCCCAATGCTGTCGAGTCTATGTCATTGGCGAAGAACGCCAACATCTCGATTCGGGACTGGCTGCTCATACAAGTACTTAACATCAGCTGAGACAGTCCGAGTATGTTGAATCTGTGGTGGTGTCTCGCGATAAGCATGGCTGCAAAACATTGTTAGTGACGACGATACCGTTAATACGAAATATTGACTCGCCCTCTGTTATGATACCCCGTTACGTCTTGATGAGTGGGGTTCATTTCGTGGAAAGACGGACGAGGCGCAGGATCCTGATGTACCGCTGCTGCTGTTGGATGAACGGGAACAAAAGCATTTGGCCGTATGAATGTGCTTCCTTTCCGGAAGCCTGGAGATGGCGCACGGTGGGTTTCGCGGTGATGTAGCTGCGCCGAGCTTGAGGCGAGGCCTTGGTTGTAGTCTCTGAACCGGGAAGCGCTGGCTTCTCCATACGCAATGCGACGAGGTTCAGTATTCCTATATGTCACCGAGGGCAAGGTACGCCCAGTGTGCTGATCCATCCTAGGTGGGCTGAAGTCCCGCACCCGAGACGGATCTGTTTCCCAGGATGGCGGAGGAGAGGCCTCTCTGTGTACGCGAATGACCCGTTTTGAGGTTACAATAGGAGCCTCGCGCGGGCGACGATTGTCCTCTAGGGGTTCTCGTACTCGATAGACCCTTCTTGCGTGCTCAGGTGTTGAGACTGCCAAGTTGGTTTGTGATCCATGGTAATAGTCGCGTTGCGTCACGACCTGCTCACCAATTCGCGAGGGCATTGCTGGTCTCAGTCGGCCATTGCTGCCAGGATCCGACTGCTCATACTGGAAGTCTCCTGTGTGGTTTTGCAAAGGTGGCGGGTGTGGGAAAGGAACGGTCCGTCCAGCAGGCACTTGCTCTGGACCTCTGGGTTCCCCACGAATTACCTGACGCACAAATTGAGGCACGTCTGGTCCTGAGTGGGGAGATGCAGGCTCGATAGACGGGACGAGATAGTCCTTCAGCTCTTCGTGATAGGATCTTTGTGGAGCTGGGCCAGATTGCAGATCAGAACCAACCGGAACACGAGTGATACGCCTGCCAACGATCATTGCTTCCGGAGGGACAGACTGAGAACCTGACTGGGGAGCAGACGGACGACCGGGATAGCTGGCCATAGGCACGTGCCGTTGAGGTTCAAGATTAGCAACCGGGAAGCGGTCATTTGGGCGCGGGGTGATTGGCCCTGATTGTGTCCACCACGGTAGAAATATGAAGGGGTCAAAGTCATATATGAGTTCCGAGGAGAGTCAGCTCTGGGCACAGGTGAGATGATCTCAAGTGAGGGAAGCCGCCGGGAGCCCTGGCTGGGTATCCTGTCCATAGGTGCAGCTTGGCCGACTGTACCAGTATTTTGGGCATACCGGTTGCGATTTACGGCTTCTTCCCAGCGCTTGGCCACAGCCTCGTAACGCTTGAAGCCACGGTTAGTCTTCTTAGATCTTTGTGGCTTGGTTCGCTGGGAAGAGCGGCCTTCAGCAGCAGGTGACATCGGATGTCTATGTGAGAGCGCCTTGCTCGGCCTCGATAGCGTCGCATATCTGAGCCTGTGTTGAGAGTTACCAGCTCTCGAAGAATTTGTGAGATTGATCTGAGAGTCCGGAGCTGTGGTGATGCGCACAAAGTCCTCATCGCTGGACTCCTCGTCATCCGAGTCTTCGTCTGAGTCGTCGGACAGAACAATGACCTCGCGCAAGATCTCGTCGAACTGGTCCCGCCCAGTCTCTTCGTCTCCTCGCCACTTGACGAGGAAATCTAGACAATGCTGTTCGACAACTTTTCTGGCGGTCGGGTAGCCAGCCTCCCTCAGAAGCTGGTCGTATCGGGTATGATTGTGACGAATGTGGGCTAGGACGGCGAGTTGCACACGCCGAGAAAGGGGCAGTGTCCCCACCATGCCCACAACTGGCTGTCCTTGGAAGGTTCCGCCCTATAAACCATGACATGTTTACAATCAACTCTTGCTTATCGGTGTATCATGTACTGACCTTCTTGAAAGCATGCTCGATGATCATCTGCCTGTCGGTATTCGGTATTCGTGGGAAAAGATCTCTAAGCGCAGCGTCGGCTTGCGCATTGTATTCCTCCTGACTGTCAGGAATCGGTTCTGGCTCCCCTGAGTTCGAGGCAGTCGAGGCATCTTCCTCGCCAATCTGAGCACGCGCCTCTTCGACAATGGTACGTCTGATATGGTGGCCGCTTCGGCTCATCTGAAGTGCGAGCTTGTTTGCGTTGGCATCCTTTGCCGTCTGAGAATGCGTTCGGTCGTTAAAGACATGTCCTACAACTGGTAAGTAAAAGTGCTGGGTTTGACGTACACTAACGATGAAGATCATCGCGTCCCGCTCTCGTGAAAGGTCCTTGCATGCTTTGGTAAGCTCGGGGTTCCCAATAGGGACGAATTCGAATCCGGGAGGAGGGACTTTGTCAGTTGACACCTGCGTCGAATCAGCTGCGTACACACGATGAGGAGATGGCGATGGTGCCGTGTACCTCGAACTCGAGCTTTTTCTCCTTTTTGTCATGGTTCTCGAAAACCTGGAAGTAAGACTTGTGCTTCGATGTGATGTTCTTTTCCGGGAGGGCAATCAGGTCTGTTCGGACGGGTGCCGTCCATGCGCTGTTGTCCCTCCCTGTTCTCTGATGTCTCTCTTTCGCGGTCTTGCCGGCGGTTGCAGCCGCCAGGCTTGTTTTCTTCTCCCTCCCCATGGCGAACGGATCCTCATGAGCTTACCATGATGGTACACAATGTAGACAGAGGGTATCAATAACGGAAACAGAAGGAGGAAAATCAACTCGGAGCGACCAAGAGAACGACGAGTGTAAACCGTGTTCTAGGCGACACTCGGAGCGTCAACTTGTCACTTCGTTGCTCTCCCGGCGCGCACAGGTTCAACAAGCGCGGCTTGCTGAACCAGAGAAGCCCAAGAGCAGGACGGAAGTCAGAGAAAGGAAAGCCAAGGAAGATGGGCTGCCCAGTCTGCGGGCGGGAAAGCCTCGTGGACCACAACTCGAAGGAGGTGCGAGAAGTGGAAGACGAGGCAAGCAGAGAAGTACACGCAGAAACACAGCAGTGCACGAGTCACTGAAGCCGGGCAACAACAATAACGGCGGTCGTGGGCGGAGCCTGGTGAAGCGTGGGAAGAGAAAGGAGCCGTTTTCTAAGGTGGGAGAAAGAAGCCTGGCAGACGGTGACAATCCATGCGCCGCTTTTGGTGGCGGTCCAGGCGGGTCAGGCTTCAACGCTATCTCTGCTTGCGCCCAGCTTAGTAAGCGACTTCCATTTCACCTAGGTACCTAGGTATTCAGTACAAGGCGCGACGGCCAGGGGCCACCAACCCCCCCTTCCCCGGAGGCCATCCCAGGGTTCACCCCTAGGAGAATGGATATTTGCACCTGGCAAAACGGATAGTAGATACATCGGCACATCACCAGCACTAAACCAACACCCACGCCCAATTAACACACCTAATCTACATACTCAACACCTATACCTAATTCACATACTTAATTTCTATGTTTAGGGCTGATTTAAATGCCTAGGGCTAACCAGGTATGCTACTTAGATATATAAATTGGGTGTGTGAATTGGGCATTTGGTTTGGGTGTGTAGGTGTTTGGGTGCTGGATGTGTGGGTGCTGGGCGTGTGGGCGTTGGGTGTATAGGTGTTGGGTGTTGGGTGTGTAGGTGTTGAGTGTGAGTGTGATTTAGGTCTGGTGTAGCTATGGCGCGAGTGATGTACCGGTGTACCTTCCGTTTTTGCAGGTGTGAATCCCCTATTCTCCTATATGTAGCGTGGAGCCAGCTGAAGCTTGATCGGTAAGGGCCCTCCTGCCTCTGCCGGCCTGGCGGATGTGCAGCCCGCCCTCACACGTCTAACGTACACCACATGCCGTCCCAGGGCTCAACCCTAGAAGCTCTGCTGCATGTCTTGACTACACAGACGGCCTCATAACCTCTCTACACTTTAGATGGGCATGCTGATGACTGCGAATATAAGAACACGCAGCACGTGGCCGAGTCAAACATGGCAGAGTCCGAGCTTGGTTCATCCTTTATCCCAGCCCTTCACAAGCCGTCTGCTCTCTTGCCCATAGCGAAGCATCGGCAGAGCCTGCTCTACCTGGTCGAGACTCGCCAGGTCACTATCGTTGTTGGGCAGACCGGAAGTGGAAAGACAACGCAAATACCTCAATTTCTCGAGAAGGCTGGCTGGTGCGCTAATGGCAAAGTCATCGCCGTCACACAAGTGAGTCCATGCCTTTCTCCATGCCAGATAGCGCTCGCTGACCAGACTCTTTAGCCACGTCGCGTAGCTGCAACAACTGTAGCCGTCAGGGTAGCCGAGGAGACGGGCAGTGAGCTGGGCAAAGAGGTGGGATACTCCATCCGCTTCGACGATGTCTCATCGGCAGCGACCCGCATCAAGTTTCTGACGGATGGATTGCTCATCCGCGAGGCCCTTGTTGATCCGCTATTGTCTCGTTACTCCGTCATCATGGTCGACGAGGCGCATGAACGGTCAATTTCAAGTGACTTCCTTCTAGGGTTACTTAGCAAGATCCTCAAACGGCGCCCAGAATTGAGAATAATTATAAGCAGCGCCACTCTTCAAGCTGAAGAATTCCTCGAATTCTTCACTAGGCGTGGTGAGACGCAAGGGCACGATCAGCCCCAGGTCACAGGTGCCATCATCAGTATTGAGGGCCGGACATATCCCATTTGATATACTCTACCTGGAATCACCTGCTGAAAACTATGTTGAAAAGGCCGTCAGTACCGTGCTCGAAATCCACGCCAAAGAGCCAAAAGGCGATATCCTTGTCTTCCTAACAGGAAGAGACGAGATCGAGTTTGCAATCAATGCAGTCGCGCAGCGCTCTACGCAGTCAGATCCGGCATCGCAAGTCCTGCCGTTACCACTGTATGCTGGGCTCTCGACAGAACAACAGATGTATGTCTTTGCGCAGGCACCAGACAACACGAGAAAGGTCATCTTTTCGACGAACATCGCCGAAGCTTCGGTCACAATCGACGGTATTACCTACGTGGTGGATTCTGGTTTTGTCAAAGAGCGTGCTTACAACCCAATATCCGGCATTGAAACACTGACAGCGGTTCCCACCTCCAAAGCAGCAGCTTCTCAGAGAGCGGGCCGAGCAGGCAGGACAAGACCGGGAAAGTGCTATAGACTCTACAAGGAGGAGACATACATGGGTTTGCCCGATGCCAACGTACCAGAAATCCAGAGATCAAACCTAGCGCCGTTTATACTGCAGCTCGGGGCTCTTGGAATCACCAACTTCCTGCGGTTCGACTTTCTGACACCACCTCCGGCTGAGTTGATGTCCAGGGCCCTCGAGCTACTTTATTCGCTTGGTGCCTTGGACGACTATTGCAAGTTGACGAGACCGCTGGGAATGCGGATGGCAGAACTGGCGGTGGAGCCGATGATGGCCAAAACCTTGCTCTCTGCCACTCTGTTTGGATGCGTCAGCGAGATAATAACCATAGCAGCCATGACGAGCATTGGAGGCAGCGTGTGGGTTCAGAATGATGCTGACCGGCAGAAGGAGCTAGAAAGCTCGAGGCGGAAGTTCGCAGCGGAGGAAGGCGACCACCTCACTCTTCTCAATGCATATCAGGCTTTTGTGAGCACGGGGCGGAAGGAGGGCCGTTTCTGCCATGACAACAACCTCAACTTCAAGGCTATGACCCGTGCAGTCAGTATAAGAGCACAGTTGAAACGGCGTCTTGAGCGATTCGGCATCAATATGGAAGAGTCGCTCGCAGTCAAGCACACCACAGACAACGATCCAGCGAGAAAGGCTGAGCAAATAAGACGCTGCCTTACCACAGGATATTTTTCACAGGCGGCGAGAATGGTACCCGATGGCACGTTCCGCACCATCGACGGTGGAACGGTCCTCCATGCCCATCCGAGCAGCATCATGTTTAATAGGAAGGCTGATTGGGTCATTTTCACGGAAGTCATGGAAACCGCCAACAAAACGTTCATCCGAGATATCTGCAGGATTGAGAAGGGCTGGCTGCTTGAGTATGCACCCAATTTCTACCAGCTCAAGAAGTAATCCAGCATATCACCCACGAATGAATCGGTCCGGCCTGCCAATTGCAATGGTCTCCAGTCAGTAATTCTGCAGGGATCCTAAAGACTTGTTTGGAGCACTTCAAAGCATGTAGAAGGAAACCAAACGTGGTCCGTAGTGAACAGGTTCAACATAGACCTGATACTTTCGATGAAGCAACAATACACCCACCCAGCTGTCATGCAAGCTGCTCCCCGAGCTCAAGGGCATTCATACACTCGATGCCAAATCTCGCGACGGTGCACATAAGGACCACTGTGCTTTCCTCGCAAGCGCGCCTCAGATAGCGCAGCCAACACCTGTTACCGCGCTACCCCAGGTCTCATGATGCAAGCATAGCTTGTTGTTCCGGTTGTTTCTGTTTCACCCTTGCAGGCTGTGGTTCTGGTATCATCTCGTGGGCGGGGAGTGCGGTATCTGGGACGTTGGGCAGCGGCGCCCTCTCTCCCAGTTCGGCTTCCATGGCCGCCAGCTCTTCCTCGACCTCGTCCTCGTCCTGGTTCGATATCTTGCCCCCGAGCATCTCGCTGACCTCCTATAGTTTTGGACCCACAAATTAGCGCCCGGAACAGTCACATTAGAGGGGGCAAGGGGGAGGGTTGGGGGCCCCCGAAAGGAATTCAGTCAGACATCCGCAGTCACACTCACATTCTGATACGCGATCGCGTCGGCAGTCTCCCCCATAAGCTTCTCGACGTGCTCTATGCCGCCCATCTCGGCGTGTATCTCCTTGAGGACCTTTGTGCCCTGCTGCAGGCCGAAGACGACATCCTTCTGTATCTGGGCGAACTCGACGTTGGCCGTCAGCTTCTCGAGCTGCTCCAGCTGGCCGTCGGTCTGCGCGAGGAGCGACTCCTGGTACTTCTTGCGGCGCAGGGCGAGCAGGGCGCGCTTCTTGTCGCCCTTGGCCAGCATCTGCTTTGCGATCTCGGTCTCGCGGTCGGTGAGGACGGTTATGCGCCGCTGGTACTGGTGCAGCTTGTCGCGCTGGGTTTTGAGGTCGAGGACGGCCCTTTGGGAGAGGAGAGCATGTCGATTAGCTATGTACTTGTGCGACTGGGGCGCATGCATCTGGGGTGGGAGAGTCTTTTGGGATCTATGGATGTTTGGGTTGTTCTGGCTGCCTCACTTGTCCTGGGCCGTGACCCGACTGGAGTTGTTGCCCATGATCTTGCTTGCAACATGTAGAGGTGTGAACCAGCAGTATTGATGGCTTTCCGCTATGTTCTCATCGATCTGCCGTGTCAAGTCATGGTGAAGAGCACTTGGGACGGACCAAAAGGTCGTCAGGGTTTCAAGGCCGATAACGTTCCAGACGTTCCCAGGCTGATATCATATGGCAGGTCACAGGCGTGCCCAGGGTTGTTGCAGCCAAGCGATCTGGCTGCCTGTCGCTTAACAACCCGGAACAGGTCTGACAGGTAGTACCGTACTGAGCACCACCTGCAGCAAGAGTACCTGGGTACCTCTGAAAGCGTCACATGCAAGGAACCGCCTCAAGACCAATGCACCTGCGTGCAGTAGGATAGAGAAAATGAATTCAACGTCCTTTGGTGGATAGAAGGCTTACGCACAAGAAGTTATTTGCTGCCAACCCCGCGATCGTGGGCCGAGTGTGCGGCTCTCTGCTGCTAATACCACCTGGCCAAGTGGGCTACTGTCACTACGTTCTTCTTTACACCATTCCTTCTTAGACTGGAGCTGAGCGCTTCTCACCGGCGCAAATTGATTCAGCGCAATCCGTTACAGCGTCGGCGACCTACTTATACATGGGCCCATGGCTCACATCGTCATCTCGCTCTCGTAACTGTGTCACTTTCCTTTTCAAATGGCGAGAGTCATGTTATCCTTCACAACGGCAACGGCTTACGTAAATCCCTCTTAGTCCGCGCGGCCTTTTGCGAGAGCTGAACGGAGACGAAAGCTTCATCACAAGGGAATGCCCAATTATAACAGCTTCACCGCCCATGTCGGCATGGGACAGACACAGTTGCGCGTGAGGTGAATCAACCACGACTTATTGATCTTGTCTGTGATGCAATGAAGCGGATACGAGAACACGGACAACCAATCTGCGAAAAGCTCGATTTCCAAATTGCGTGAAACAGGAAGATCCACCGTATTACGCTCTGGCCAGCTCCGTCTCCTAAGCCAACTTTATATGGAGAGAAGCCACTTCAACCAGCCGTGGTGTTCTCTGCTTTTTCTGGTACGAGGTCCTCACAGATTCCGATACACGGCCTTGAAAATGCTTCATCTCACAACAATCCCACCTATTTGGACTCATCTAAGATTTGTTGGGGGATGACTAAGCACTCCCCTCTCTTTTAATATACCATACCTTCCATAGCCCGCTTAGCATTAGCTTTTCTTAATATATATATACTTTATAAGATACTTTAATTAAATTAGCTGTTAGCAATCTTATTTAGTTCTTTAATTTAATTTTAAAAGCCTTTATATATCTTATTATATAATAACTATAACTTAATTTAACTTCTCATTACTTTTATGCTAAGATTTAATTATTAATTTAATATTAATTGCTCGCAATTATTTAAATAATTGCATTCCCTTAGCATATAATTAATTTAATAACCTTATTAATCTTAGCTTAATTAGCTAAAGGCTTTAAATATTATTAATAATGCTTTAAATAATTATTAATAAGTCTTATGCTTATTAAATTATAATATTTATTAGCTTAATAGCTTTAATAAACTTTTAATTATTAAAACCCCTTAATTAAATAACTTTTAATTTTAATTTAAAACCATTTTATAAATAATTTTATAAGTAAAATAAGAAATAAGCTTCCTTAAAATATAAAAGAATATTTTATTATTGCTAAATTGCCTTAATTAAAATTAAATTAGCCTTTTAAATTTATTAGCGCATTAAAATCGGCTTAAAAAGCTTTTCCCATTTTTACATAATTAATACTAGCCTTTGCTTTTACTTAACAAGAACTTTAAGTATAATTTATAATAATTAAGGCATTAAATTATAACTTTCTTTTAATAAAATATAACTTAAGAAGGTATAAAGCATTAATTAAGCTTTATTAAGCTTTATTAATTTCCTTAATTTAATTTAATAACTTTTTTTAATTCTTTATTTTAAAATTCCTTAAGAGTTCCTTAGTTTTAAAAGCTAGCTATTCTTTATAATTAGTTTTTTAATTAAAATAAGTTTAATATTAGCCTATTTTCTTTAATTAAAGTTAATTAAAATAAAGTATATAAAACCTTTTTATTAAAATAAGCTAATAAAATAGCTAAGGTAGGATTATTTTAAAATTATACTTATTTATTAAGACTTAAGAATTACTTTAAGAAGCTTTATTTTAAACCTATTAAACGCTTTGCATATATTAAGCCCCTAGCTTTTCTTATATAAATATTTTTATATACTTAAAGCAATTATTTTTTTAATATAGCTATTATTTATATTATTAAGTAAAGTATAGCTTTAAAAATATACTTAAAGCTTTATTCCGTTATATTAAATTAACTCTTTACTTAAGTTTAATATATTATAAAGAACTTTAGCAAGGTAAAATATTAAAATTAAGTAGCAGCAGCTTATTATTTCTTTATAAAACTTATAAATATTACTTCTTCCTTAAAAGCTTTTTTTATATTAATTAGCTATTTTATTTTTAATTTTTAATAAGCCTTCTTTAAGCTAAAGAATTATAAAAATAAATAAAATATAAATAATTAACTAATTTGCTTTTTTTATTATAAGCATTGCTTTAATTTCCCTTATTTATTAGCTAAAGATCGCAGCTTTTTTAATTAATGCCTTATTTATAATATTCCCCTTAAATTAAATATAAAGGATAAAATTAATAATTGCCATTAACACTCTTGCTAAAAATACTTTCCTTAATAAGAAGCTTTTTGCCCTTAAAACTGCTCTTATTATAATTAAGATTATTATACTCAATAAAGTAATTTAAATTAAATATTTATATTAACTTATAAAAATAATTTATACTTAAAGTTAAAAGTATTTAAGTTTTATAGCTTTAAAATAAATATATATATTGCTTATATTTAATATTTTATAAAGACTTGCGGTAAAGTTATAATTTTTATTAATCTTTTTATTAAAATTATCTTAAATTTAAATTTAAATAGCGCTTATTAATTTATATTATTAATTAAATATAAGCAAAAAGATCTTATTAATAATTTAAGTTTATAAAAAGTTAAGCTTTATTAATGCTTTTATAAGAATTATAATAACCTTATAATTAAAATAAATAAAATATTTTACTTTTTTAATAAGGAAAATGCTTTATTTTTATATAAGTATATTAATAATAAGATTTATCTTTATAATAAGGCTAAAAAGTTAAATAAAAATATTTATATTTATTAAATTTATATTAAATTAAATCTTAAGTTATATATAATAATTATTTTATAAACTTAATATAATAAACTTAAAGATTTTAAGTAACTTATTAATTAAAATAAGTATAATATTTATTAAAAGTAGTAAAAGAATAAAAAAGCGAAAGAAGCTTAAAGCTATAAGATTTATAAATTATAAAAGTAATTTATTACCCTTTAAAAAAATAATAATTATTATAAAAAACTTAAATAATTTAATTATTTCTTATAATATAATAATTAAGAATAAATTTCTTACCCTTATTATAATGCTTATAAGTAAACTTATAATTATAGCTTTAATTATTTATATAATTTAATATATTTGCATAACTTTAGTTATAAATATAAAGCAATACATAATATTTTACTTTTAATTAAGAAGATAGTTAATAATTTTATAGCTAATAAAAATAAAGGGTATGGAAATTATTTTAATTAAATTACTTATAATAAGTTAAATAAGCTAAATTACTTTACTTATAAACATTTCTTTTTATAAAAGTATTAAAATGGCATTTTATAACCCTTTTTATAAGCATATATTATAAATATTAATAAAAAACTTAAAATCCTTTCTTAAAAAGTTTTTAATAATATTTAATGATTTTATAATTTAATATAGAATTTACTTAATATAAGTAATAATTTTAAATTAAACCTTAATTTAAAATTAAAATAAGAAAAATAACTTAATAAATGCTCTTAAGGATATATTTATTATATAAAAAGTTCTTAATTTCTCTTATTTTTAACTTTATTATAGCTAATATTATTATTAAGTTTTTAAAATAATTTCTTTATAACTTATTTTTATAAAAAAAATAATAAAAAGCTTAAGCTTATGCTAGCATTTATTCCTATATTTAAGTTAAAGATTCCTTTAAGATAGGATAATTTTATTATTTTAATAATATATAAAAATATTATAAAAAGCATTATTAATATTATTCTTTTATATTTAATAAAATAAAATGCATTTTATCCTTTTTATTCTTTATTTAAGTTAAATTATTTTTATATTATACTTATTATGCTTAATAAAAAGCTTATTAATAATATTCTTAATATTGCTTTAAGTACTTTGCTTATATCTTAAAAAGTACTTTTATTATATTATCTTAAATTAAAATATAAATTATTATAAACTCTTTTTTCCTTAATTAAAGTTAAAGTTAACCTTATTATTACTTATAAAGTTAAATTATTCATTAATATTCTTAATTAAAATAGGTAATCTTAGCTTATTAAGGAAGATGCTTATATTATTAATAATTTATTTTATAGCTTGCTTTTTAATCTTTCTTTTCTAAAAAAGCATTAATTATATATATATTATGGTTTTTTAAATAATAATAAATTAATTATTATTTTAAATATAAATTAAAAGATTTATATTACTTATATTAAATACCTTCTTGCTTAATATAAAATAGCTATTATTAAGGCAACTTATAAATATTTTAATTTGCTTAATAAAGGTTTTAATATTTAAATTTATTTTTAAGAATTCTTAATTTAAGCTTTTAAATATTTTATTAAGCTTAAAGTTATTTTAAATTATTATAACTTAATTTATAGCTCCCTTATTAATAGCATTATAAATAATGTTGCTATTATCCTACTCTTTTTTAATTTTAAAGATTAATTTATAATGATTTATAAAGGGTAGCTTTTTAAATACCTTAAGGCTATATTTATCGCTCTTAACTTAAAAATCTTTTTAATATAAAAGGATTTTATTTTAATTACCATTTTCTTATT